TTTTGTGCCCCTGATTCCACCGCCAGATAGAGCTTCAGGTGCTTCCCTTTGTTCTGGCCAATGGCTGGAAAGCTTGCAGAGATTTCTGGGAAGGTATAGTGGACTCTTCCATGAGGAGGGGCCAAAGGTAGTTCCTGGAATTGTTCCTGCTCTTCATGGACAGTGACCCCTACAACCAAGAAGGTAAGTAAATAAGTACTTGATATATGATCATTAATATGTGCATTACTGTAAATAATTACTGAATTATGGAAAAAACAGAAAAAGTCACACATTAATCTCGAAAAAAGAGCAAACTTTTCATTGGCCTTGTAATAAAAATTTTGAATGCCTTAAAACTATTGCAGCAGAATGGACATTTACTTTTCCAAGAAGCAATAAGTGTGATGATTTATGCAAAAAAGCATCTTTAAAAATTTCAAACCAGTACCTTTCATTTCGGGAGTCAGGCAACCTTGACCAAAGTACAATACAGTATCTGTGTTATTATGCAACAATATAGATGGCGCCGGGTCATCCTGTATCACAATATATGTCACTCCTTTCTTCACATGACATGTAACCACACATGCACAACTCTGCCAAGCACCTTCAGAATAGAATGGGAATGTACAGGTTGACCTTGACCCAGATTCTGGTAACCTTGACCCAGATTCTCCAACCTTCAGTCTCAGGGGGACACTCCACATGAATCTGTGTGTGTCTGTCTTAAAAGGACTTGACTCCTGTTCTACACTGCTGATTTCTTCACAATGAAGTTTGAAAAGAACATATTTGGCATGCTCTTTGGCCTGAGTGTCAGAGTCCAGTCTGGTCCAAGGAGAGAGTGGACGTAGTCCTGGTTGACCGCTGCTTGACCTTGACACGGACACAGCTTTGGAATGGTCCAGAGATAATGAAGTGTACTGGAATGATCAAATATTCATTATGCAAACTGGGGAGGCACTTAGATTTATACAACAAAATAGTATTCAAAAAGAGCAGATACATTATTTAAACACGACACTGAACACAACCTGAGAAATACAAGAAAATCAATATGCATGTCTATTATTAGACTTATAATATTCAAAATAAGTAGGTCTATTATGTAACATGTTATTTTGAATAGAATATAATTATAAAATGTGTTACTGTTAGAATACCACCTGAGAACTGAGAAAATCAATATGTATATCTGGCTATATATAATGTCTCAAACTTTCCAATTCCATTCCACCGAGTCTCCGATGGACAACATGATTACCAGACAAACTTCATCTTAAAACTAAATGATATTCTGGAAGATTTGAGACTGTGATTGCAAAGAAATGCCAGTTTGTCAGACTAGAAATGTGCAGACTATTTTTAATATTCATAATAATTTAAACTTTAATTTTTACAGAATGTAGCATCCCTGCTGCTACACTTACTTTGTTCTGTCCAAAAGGTACCTCAGCACATAAGACCATAAGGTCAAGCTGTGACTGGTTGACCAGTTGGTACGTCTCCTGTATGGTCAGTACTCTCATGTGGTGGTGGACATCTGATGTCAGGGTCAAGTAGTGGACCTGGAGACATAAGTACTCGTATGTATTAAGGTATGTCAAGAATGTAATAGTATGGTAATACATTATGGGGTATGTACTGGTATGTGGTTATATGATTTAATGAACTTTTTGCCTATCTCTTGCTCCTTTCTCTCTCTTCTTCCTGACTTCATCCACCTTTGTCCCCTTATTGCACAAGCTCTCTCTCTCTCTCTCTCTCTCTCTGATCATGCATGCACATTAAAAACAAGTCCTCTCCATGCAAATCACGTACTTGGTTATATGATTTAATGAATTTTCTGCCTCTCTCTCTCTTTCTCCTCTCTCTCTCTCTTTCAACATCATCTTCCTTTCTCCTGTTTTGTAATAACAAGCTCTCTCTCTCTCTCTCTCTCTCTCTCTCTCTGTCTGTGTGATCAAACACATTAAAAACAAGTCCTCTTCATGCAAATCAAACAGTAGCTTTTTATGACCAGTAAATGAAAAATATGATCAGATCACATTTTTATAAGCCACACCCTCTTCACTGTTCAGTATAACCAAATGATAACCTAAACACAGCTTATGCAGTGACTGGCATATCAGGCACACCTCTTTTATGAACATATCCTCTGTAACACAATGCTACCCTACCTGATCATCCACAATGATGGACACATTGGTCACACCCCCTTTGTAGAACATATCCTCTGTAACACAATGCTACCCTACCTGATCATCCACAATGATGGACACATTGGTCACACCCCCTTTGTAGACCACGCCCTCCACTCTTGGAAGATAACCTCGATCTTCTTCTGCTTCATCTGATAGCACCAGGATGTTTGAGCTATAGATGGCGCTGTTCTGTGTAACTCCAAGACGGAATCCACCCTGAAGTTCCAGGCAGCATTATTTAATTTTTACAATTTTCAGTATATTCATAATTCAAAATTTACATATTGCCATGCACAATTCCATAGCACTGTCCAATTAAAATTTTCTTTCAACATATAGTAAAGAATAAAATTCTAAATATAATAATACAAAGGAATTAAAATTTAAATCTAAAGGGTAAAAATAAACAAACACATAAAAAGAGATGTGTCAAATCATGCAGATTTGAAAAACTTGGTTACTAAGGATGTAAATGACTTGGTACATGAACTCACTTCTAGTGGCGGTGGGGCCATCATTTCCCCACTCCTTATCACCCACACCTTCTCACTAGAACTGTCCACTATGGCCACGCCCATCCCAGCCCTGTTGACCACTAGTGACCAGGGGGTAATGTCCAACAACAGGGTATTGCATCCCGGCCATCTCTGACTAAGGTGGACCTGGAGGTCTATATTAGGGTGTGGCTGGCTCAGGTCACCCCCCAGGGTGGGGGTAAGGGTGGGATGGGAGTACGGCTCTGACTGCCTGGAGTCTGGAATGTTGGGACTGAAAAATGTGGTAAATTCAAAGTGATAAAATTTCATAAGAAAAATAACTCTTAAAAATATAAATGAATTATAAAAAACCCATACAACTGTAAGTGTTACATGTAAATACTTTAGCAGACAACATTATTTTTCAGTCTAGTCTTTTCTCTCTCCATTATGTGGTTTAAGGTGATTTTTTCAAAAAATACCTGAAATCTTTGTCAGTGTATGGCCAGTGTGTATTACTCTCCGTATCCCAGCTATAGCACTCTTTCTCTATGTCCAATGTGTCCATTGACTGATGAGTGACCTGGTCAGTCATTCCAGCAGACAGCGACAATGGAGGACTGGATGGCTTCATGCAATCTCTGAGATTAAATGGTATAGCATAAGAAATGTTTAAATAATGCAGTTTGTCAATTTGAAGCATAGGTAAAATATTAAGTATTTGAAGATGGATACAAAATATGCTTGTCCAAAGAAGGAACATGTATGTGCAAGCAAATAAATAAATAAATAAAAAAATAAAATAATAAAGCACTGAATGTTAAAAGAGACTCTAATTCTGTACCCTTTAACATATCTGAATTAAAAACTCATGTCCACAAACCCTTGTTGAAACGTCAACATGTGCGTCACGTCCCCACCCACACACTGCAGCTGCTGCTCTACGCCATGCCCTGGTAGTAGCAACTGCTGCATGCTCTTCATGCGCGGCGTATCCACATTCACAATCAGCTTTGATGGCAGGTGTGCTCTTAACACAAACAAAGGTGTGAAAAGTACCTGAGGGGGGAGAAAAAATGTCCAGTTAAGTGATACTTTGTCTAAACTGGCAACAAGAAAGGAGAGGGAATAGCATCAGCATTATACAGATAAAGAGGAGAAAATTTACTTTTGTCAACTGTTTTTGATATGGTATACTGCAATACCTGTGTCACATAAATTTAACATACATGTGAAAGGTGTTATGTAGAATTCTCATGTATGTGGACAAATAGACAAACAGAAAACNCGGCGGAGCCAACGGAGCCGGCAGAACGATCCGGACGGGACCGAAACCATGTGTACCGCCAGCGCTAACGCTGGTGGTACAATAAACTCCACGCTGAGATTACGCAACAAGCATTCAAATGGGTTGGCCAAATTTGGTATGTAGATTTGTTAGTGTGCTGTTCTGAGTGAGCTCTAAGATTACAAATAAGCAACAGGCAATAATACTGATGTGTTATATATTTCAGAAGATTCATTTTGAATGAATGTTCAAACTGTTACACAAAAAAATAATAATAATAATTATAAAAATAAATAAATAAAATTAAATTAAAAAAAAAAATTGAAATGCAGTTATTTGCAATATTCACTGTTACCTGCACACCTTACTAAGCATCCAAAGTATACTGTGCTACTGTTATTTTTTTGTCAATTGACCAAATTCTTGTTTATTTATACAAGAATTCTTGTTTATGGACTGAACTGTCATTTAAAGCTTTTACATATCATTTGCTAATGAAAACAAAAATTCCGATGCTTTTTTTAACCAAGTTATAACTGAAACCCCTTTCCTAATAATTTGTCCTTTGCTAGCTGAAACAGTCCCACAAACAGTTCTGTTAGTTTGGGATCAGCTTGAAAGCGATGCTGTATTAATTTTTTTGGTGATGGATTGGAGACCTCCGACTGATTGTCGCTAACGCTTACAGAATCTCGATGCTGTGTCTGGGATGGGTAGCCATGAATGAACTCTGCAATCCTGTCTTGGGTGGTATGTGTTGCCTCCTGGTGTCAAAAATAAAAAAATCAGATTCAGAGAGTTGCTCATGCAAGAATATCCCTCTGATAAAGGGTGGAAATGTGATGCCACAAACTTAAGTTAAAGTTATAAAGTTTATTTAGAAGCCTTATAATATTTTACAACAAACAAACAAAAAAAAAAAAAATGATAAAAATAAAAAAAATCAGTCTCACCTGCCTCAAATTAATTTAAAAAACACAGTATATTTAGAAACAGTTTATGTTTTTACAAAAAAAAAAAAAAAAAAAAAAAAAAAAAACTCCAACTCACCTCCTCAACATTGCCCCCATCTAGATCCTGCACATTAAGATAAAGCATCCATGGGTTCCTACTCGACTGTCTCACTGAGATCTCCGAGACTGCAAACGCCTGCTGCTGGACGTCCTCTTCTACGCTCATGATGAACAGGATCTCAGAGGTCAAGAGGAGGGTGATAGGAGCGCCATCTATGGACGAGATGTGCTGAGTGGCAGGCAGCTCCATGACTAGCTCCACACTTGGGAGTGTGTTAAGAAGCTTGCTGTAAATTTTAAGAAAAGGAAAGTCACCACCAGATTTTCATCTGAAATTTTTCAACAACAGTAATGCTTTTTCCCCCACCCATAATTGTAAGGCCTTTTACTCAAGACATCACTGCTGTCTTGATTTCCTGTAGCACATTAAAATGTATTGTGGTTATTTGGTAAATATCTATTTTCTTCACCACCATTTTAGAAATCTAAATCTTTCATAAAAATATTATATAATTAAATAAATTTAAAAAAAACTTTAAGAACACACCTGACAAATTTGAGATAAGCATTTGGCCAATCCTCCGCCAGCCTCACAGTGGGGGAGTACCTTGGCTCTGGAAGACGACTTAATCCAGTACCCTGGAGCAACCCTGGAGATGGAAAATATTACTACTAACTTAACTATCTGAATATAACTGTCAGATTATGAGAATCATCAAAGATATCCCATAGTCTTGTGACTAGCATGGAATTAAATCAGATTAAGGGGGGAGTTTGGTGCTGTTAAAACTAACGCAATTTTACTATATTGTAACTACATGTATTGTGTTATCACAGCTTAAAGAAAATGGTAATTCGTAAGATGAAATATTGCTAAATCCATCCTCAAGACACCAAAATAAGTGAGTAAAATGCTTAAAATTACTGTCCACTAGAGGAAGCACATTAAAAAGAAAATCATTTTCACATCTGTTTACAGTTGTATATGATCTTAATGAACAGGCATCACTGGGCAAAAGAGCATAACTTGGGCTCACCTTGACCTGTTTGTGACACAAACTCTGCAGCGCCACCTATGGGTTTGGTGACAATTCCCATCAGCCCCTTCCCAACCCCTGACACAATGCCTGTAGCTTTCTGTGCAGGTGAGGTTGGAGTCTGGGTTATAGTGGTCAGACTCTGGATGGGTTGGTCTGCTATACCTGCTATGGCACCTGATGGGCAAAGATAATAATAATAATAATAATAATAATAATAATAATAATAATAATAAAGCAAAGCACAAATTCCTTAAAACTACTTATTGTTAACTACATGACCCTGTCAAAGGTGGCAGCTCTGTCTGCTAAGTGGTTCTCTTACACCATATCCAGGCTATTAAGCAGTCAATATTTCAAAACCTTATACCACTTATGAAATTCCACAGTATAATTATGCTCAATTTAAAAAGGTTCTCTGTTTCTTAAAATCATACTTTATGTAATTAGCAATGACCATATATAAATATCTTATACAGAGCTCACCAAGTAGACTCAGCCCAAATCCAGTGAACCCCTGTTTTAGTCCAGAGGACACCCCTACTGGATGATGTCGTCTGCTGTGTTCCTGTCTCTCAGAATGGTCAGTGTCCAGCGAAAGACGGTCCATGTTCCTGGATACACTGGATGCAAAACTGGTGATAGATGAGAGAGTGCCTGAGAGAAAAGGAAAACCAAGGATAACAATGAACTGAAAAAAATTTGTGTTTTTTGATTTAAACTTTTTTTCATAAGGCACTGTCTTGAAAGAAAATAAACCACATAGGTTCACATTATTGATAAACTGAAGCTCAATTCTGTTTGTCTGCAACAATGGTAAAATACTTTGATATACTGATGATTCGTACATAAAATACAATAGAAAAAGTATATTTAATCTAACAGTGACAACAGCTTCAATTGCATAAAATGAAAATGGCAAAAAAAAAAAAAAAGACAAATACCTCTCAGTAAAGACTTATTTCACAAGTAGTAAAAGATAGCTTATGTTGTAAAATCAAAACAAAACAAATACGGAAACACATGTACACAAACACAGAAATCCAATGCTCACAAGCACACAAGGGCACAAGCACACCTTCACACTCACCCCCCCCCCCCACACACACACACGCACACAATCAAAACAGTCTATCTCAATGACAAATATTTCATCCACACTCACCTGCTGTGACATTAGCCAACAGTGACCCCATGCCCTGTGTCACACCTCCAACAAATGCCCCCGGTCCTCTTGAGAGTCCAGCATACGGCATTCTGAAGAGGTCGGCTACTCCTGTCCCGATACTTCTGACCAGTCCAGTAGGGTTGCCTAGCAACTCTAGTGAACCGACCACCCACCCTGGAAGAAAATGTTTCATGTATAATAACCTCAATCTTTTTATTTTCTTCTATGTAGCTGATATACAGTCTGGTGCACTAGTATATACTCACTTAATTAATTTTAATTTTTAATTAATCAATTTTAAAAAAGACAAAGAATCAAAATACATATAAAGATACCTTCTTAACTTAATAAATTCAAATGCTAGCAAAATATGTTAAGAAAACAAAACTAAATGAATCATACTTATTACCTTTTAACGACTTAATTCAATTCCATACCTAGATATTATGTTAACTGAATAAATCTTAAAATAACCATATTATGAAGAAAAAATAAAACAATTCAAACCAAACCCAGCATAAGAATTCAATCACCTAGAAGCATAAAACCAGAACCCAAAGTACCTATTTCAAAAATACCTGCTCTAAAGAGGGCGCCAGTGGCATAATGCATGGCTAGGGTCCTGATCAGAGTGCTACTGGTCGTATGAATGTTGTCAACTTCAAAGTGTCCAAAATTCAGAGGGGTATTGTCTGATGACAGGAACAGCTTCAGGGAGGCATGTACACTAAGCTGCAAGCTCATTGGTTGGATTGACAGAAGCTGTAATCTGACTGGTTGACTGATGCACATAGCTTCGGCCAACACAGACCTGGGAATCAGATGTTTTGTTGGAAGAGTTTTCTTTGAAAGTGGTACTGGAATGAAAGTGTCAATTTTCTTGAGCATGTCATAAACAAAGGTGTCCTCAACATACAGAGACATTGGTTTCATGGCAACATTGACTTTCTCCACCATCAAGCTGTCGTCTTGTTGATACAGTGTCAAATCCACCATGACTAAGCAGTTTGGTTTCATATATGTCAACTTTTCAACTGTCAGTAGTTGTTCAAACTCAACACCAAGATGGCAGCCTTTGAAAGATGCCTGCTTCTGCAACACAACAGGAAAATCGTAGTTTCCAGTGTTATACATCTGGTTATCAACCTGCAGGTTCCCAACGCAGACTGCAAATGTCCTCTCACCACTAGGTGGCACTTGTGTCACCCCTATAGGATAGTACGCGATGAAGATGTCGTCTACTGTGATTCGCAACACTTCAGTGCTCTTTCTGGGATTTGTGACATCATCGGAAAGAATGCAGCAGACCAGTTTACACATAACAGCTGTTTCAATATGCAATCCCGGAGAATCTCTGTCTTCATTAGTAGCAACCTCTCCAGCATTGGTCTTGCCTTCTTCTGTGACATCCACTGGAACCAGATGAAAGGATTCAGAACTGGCACGTTTCTCCTCTTTTCCTGTCTCCATAATGACTGTGGTTGTCTGCCGTGTTATCCTGCTACGTATTTCTTTAGCTGAGACTTCTGCCCTGCTTACTGTGTTCACAAACACCTGGATGGTATGACCTTTGTGTTCAACATGAACTTTAACATCCTTAGACGCTGGTATACGCACAAAACTTTCCCGTGTTGACTCCAAATCAATACCCTGACTCCACAACATTGTATTTTGTGCCCCTGATTCCACCGCCAGATAGAGCTTCAGGTGCTTCCCTTTGTTCTGGCCAATGGCTGGAAAGCTTGCAGAGATTTCTGGGAAGGTATAGTGGGCTCTTCCATGAGGAGGGGCCAAAGGTAGTTCCTGGAATTGTTCCTGCTCTTCATGGACAGTGACCCCTACAACCAAGAAGGTAAGTAAATAAGTACCTAATATATGATCATTAATATGTGCATTACTGTAAATAATTACTGAATTATGGAAAAAACAGAAAAAGTCACACATTAATCTCGAAAAAAGAGCAAACTTTTCATTGGCCTTGTAATAAAATTTTTGAATGCCTTAAAACTATTGCAGCAGAATGGACATTTACTTTTCCAAGAAGCAATAAGTGTGATGATTTATGCAAAAAAGCATCTTTAAAAATTTTAAACCAGTACCTTTCATTTCGGGAGTCAGGCAACCTTGACCAAAGTACAGTACAGTATCTGTGTTATTATGCAATAATATAGATGGCGCCGGGTCATCCTGTATCACAATATATGTCACTCCTTTTTTCACATGACATGTAACCACACATGCACAACTCTGCCAAGCACCTTCAGAATAGAATGGGAACGTACAGGTTGACCTTGACCCAGATTCTGGTGACCTTGACCCAGATTCTCCAACCTTCACTCTCAGGGGGACACTCCACATGAATCTGTGTGTGTCTGTCTTAAAAGGACTTGACTCCTGTTCTACACTGCTGATTTCTTCACAATGAAGTTTGAAAAGAAGATATTTGGCATGCTCTTTGGCCTGAGTGTCAGGGTCCAGTCTGGTCCAAGGAGAGAGTGGTCGTAGTCCTGGTTGACCGCTGCTTGACCTTGACACGGACACAGCTTTGGAATGGTCCAGAGATAATGAAGTGTACTGGAATAATCAAATATTCATTATGCAGAATATTATTATATTACAAAAATGTGTTACTGTTAGAATACCACCTGAGAACTGAGAAAATCAATATGTATATCTGGCTATATATAATGTCTCAAACTTTCCAATTCCATTCCCAGAGTCTCCGATGGACAACGTGATTATCAGAAAAACTTCATCTTAAAACTAAATGATATTCTGGAAGATTTGAGACTGTGATTGCAAAGAAATGCCAGTTTGTCAGACTGAAAATGCGCAGAATATTTTTGACTTTTATAGTAACTTTAATTTTTACAGAATGTAGCATCCCTGCTGCTACACTTACTTTGTTCTGTCCAAAAGGTACCTCAGCACATAAGACCATAAGGTCAAGCTGTGACTGGTTGACCAGTTGGTACGTCTCCTGTATGGTCAGTACTCTCATGTGGTGGTGGACATCTGATGTCAGGGTCAAGTAGTGGACCTGGAGACATAAGGTATATCAAGAATGTATTATCATTATTATTATGTTCATTTTGGCTAAAAGATGTTGTTATCCCTTTAAATACATCCTTGGTATGTACTGATATGTGGTTGTATGATTTAAGGAACTTTTTGCCTATTTCTCTCTCCTTTTTCACTTTCTCTCTCTCCCCCTTTTTCCACAAGCTCTCTCTCTCTCTCTCTCTCTCGCTCTCCATGATCAAACACATTAAAAACAAGTCCTCTCCATGCAAATCAGACAGTAGCTTTTTATGACCAGTAAATGAAAAATATGATCACATTTTTATATAAGCCACACCCTCTCACTGTTTAGTATAACCAAATGATAACCTAAACACAGATTATGCAGTGACTGGCATATCAGCCACATCTCCTTTATGAACATATCCTCTGTAACACAATGGCCCCATTCAGAATAGGGGACTAACTGGCCCGAGAGTCAAATATGGCCAACACAATTAAAATCTTCCCAATGGGATATCTATTCAGTGTCTATTAGCAGATGAGTTGACCAGCTCTGTAGTGGGTTACCATATTTGACACTTGGACTAGTAAGTTCCCTATTCAGAATGGGGCCAATGCTTTCCTACCTGATCATCTACAATGATTGACACATTGGTCACACCTCCTTTGTAGAACATATCCTCTGTAACACAATGCTTTCCTACCTGATCATCCACAATGATTGACACATTGGTCACACCTCCTTTGTAGAACATATCCTCTGTAACACAATGCTTTCCTACCTGATCATCTACAATGATGGACACATTGGTCACACCCCCTTTGTAGACCACGCCCTCCAATCTTGGTAGATAACCTCGATCTTCTTCTGCTTCATCTGATAGTACCAGGATGTTTGAACTATAGATGGTGCTGTTCTGTGTAACTCCAAGACGAAATCCACCCTGAAGTTCCAGGCAGCATTATTTAATTTTTACAATTTTCAGTATATTCATAATTCAAAATTTACATATTGCCATGCACAATTCCATAGCACTGTCCAATTAAAATTTTCTCTCTACATATAGTAAAGAATAAAATTCTAAATATAATAATACAAAGGAATTAAAATTTAAATCTAAAAAGTAAAAATAAACAAACACATAAAAAGAGATGTGTCAAATCATGCAGATTTGAAAAACTTGGTTACTAAGGTTGTAAATGACTTGGTACATGAACTCACTTCTAGTGGCGGTGGGGCCATCATTTCCCCGCTCCTTATAACCCACAACTTCTCACTAGAACTGTCCACTATGGCCACGCCCATCCCAGCCCTGTTGACCACTAGTGACCAGGGGGTAATGTCCAACAACAGGGTATTGCATCCCGGCCATCTCTGACTAAGGTGGACCTGGAGGTCTATATTAGGGTGTGGCTGGCTCAGGTCACCCCCCAGGGTGGGGGTAAGGGTTGGGGTGGTTGCCTGAGGGGTAAGGGTGGGATGGGAGTATGGCTCTGACTGTCTGGAGTCTGGAATGTTGGGACTGAAAAATGTGGTAAATTCAAAGTGATACAATTTTCACAAGAAAAATAACTCTTAAAAATATAAACGAATCATAAAAAACCCATACAACTGTAAGTGTTATATGTAAATACTTTAGCAGACAATGTTATTTTTTAGTCTAGTCTTTTCTCTCTCCATTACGTGGTTTTAGGTGATTTTTTCAAAAAATACCTGAAATCTTTGTCAGTGTATGGCCAGTGTGTATTACTCTCCATATCCCAGCTATAGCACTCTTTCTCTATGTCCAATGTGTCCATTGACTGATGAGTGACCTGGTCAGTCATTCCAGCAGACAGCGACAATGGAGGACTGGACGGCTTCATGCAATCTCTGAGATTAAATGGTATAGTGTAAGAATTGTTTAAATAATGCAGTTTGTCAATTTGAAGCATAGGTAAAATATTAAGTATTTGAAGATGGATACAAAATATGCTTGTCCAAAGAAGGAACATGTATGTGCAAGCAAATAAATAAATAAAATAATAAAGCACTGAATGTTAAAAGAGACTCTAATTCTGTACCCTTTAACATATCTGAATTAAAAACTCATGTCCACTAACCCTTGTTGAAACGTCAACATGTGCGTCACGTCCCCACCCACACACTGCAGCTGCTGCTCTACACCATGCCCTGGCAGTAGCAACTGCTGCATGCTCTTCATGCGCGGCGTATCCACATTCACAATCAGCTGTGATGGCAGGTGTGCTCTTAACACAAACAAAGGTGTGAAAAGTACCTGAGGGGGGAGAAAAAATGTCCAGTTAAGTGATACTTTGTCTAAACTGGCAACAAGAAAGGAGAGGGAATAGCATCAGCATTTTACAGATAAAGAGGAGAACATTTACTTTTGTCAACTGTTTTTGATATGGTATACTGCTATACCTGTGTCACATAAATTTAACATACATGTGAAAGGTGTTATGTAGAATTCTCATGTATATGGACAAAGGGACAAACAGAAAACACTTACCAGAGTCTGTGTGACATCTCCATAAGATTTTACACTGCACCAGACATGTAGAAAACACTTACCACAGTCTGTGTGACATCTCCATAAGATTTTACACTGCACCAGACATGTAGAAAACACTTACCACAGTCTGTGTGACATCTCCATAAGATTTTACACTGCACCAGACATGTAGAAAACACTTACCACAGTCTGTGTGACATCTCCATAAGATTTTACACTGCACCAGACATGTAGAAAACACTTACCACAGTCTGTGTGACATCTCCATAAGATTTTACACTGCACCAGACATGTAGAAAACACTTACCACAGTCTGTGTGACATCTCCATAAGATTTTACACTGCACCAGACATGTAGAAAACACTTACCACAGTCTGTGTGACATCTCCATAAGATTTTACACTGCACCAGACATGTAGAAAACACTTACCACAGTCTGTGTGACATCTCCATAAGATTTTACACTGCACCAGACATGTAGAAAACACTTACCACAGTCTGTGTGACATCTCCATAAGATTTTACACTGCACCAGACATGTAGAAAACACTTACCACAGTCTGTGTGACATCTCCATAAGATTTTACACTGCACCAGACATGTAGAAAACACTTACCACAGTCTGTGTGACATCTCCATAAGATTTTACACTGCACCAGACATGTAGAAAACACTTACCACAGTCTGTGTGACATCTCCATAAGATTTTACACTGCACCAGACATGTAGAAAACACTTACCACAGTCTGTGTGACATCTCCATAAGATTTTACACTGCACCAGACATGTAGAAAACACTTACCACAGTCTGTGTGACATCTCCATAAGATTTTACACTGCACCAGACATGTAGAAAACACTTACCACAGTCTGTGTGACATCTCCATAAGATTTTACACTGCACCAGACATGTAGAAAACACTTACCACAGTCTGTGTGACATCTCCATAAGATTTTACACTGCACCAGACATGTAGAAAACACTTACCACAGTCTGTGTGACATCTCCATAAGATTTTACACTGCACCAGACATGTAGAAAACACTTACCACAGTCTGTGTGACATCTCCATAAGATTTTACACTGCACCAGACATGTAGAAAACACTTACCACAGTCTGTGTGACATCTCCATAAGATTTTACACTGCACCAGACATGTAGAAAACACTTACCACAGTCTGTGTGACATCTCCATAAGATTTTACACTGCACCAGACATGTAGAAAACACTTACCACAGTCTGTGTGACATCACCATAAGATTTTACACTGCACCAGACATGTAGAAAACACTTACCACAGTCTGTGTGACATCTCCATAAGATTTTACACTGCACCAGACATGTAGAAAACACTTACCACAGTCTGTGTGACATCACCATAAGATTTTACACTGCACCAGACATGTAGAAAACACTTACCACAGTCTGTGTGACATCACCATAAGATTTTACCAGGACACTGCACCAGACATGTAGAGAACCATTTTTATCTGATGTTGACAGCTACAACAAGAAACAATTTTTAAGTGCATAAAAATGTTGAAAACTATTTTTTTTCTTGACTACTAAGTACACATAAAAGTGGTAAAAAATTAATACTGATATCTCTTATATTCCATCAAGTTCACGATACGTAACTAAATGATAATGAATATTAAATTCATTTGTTCATTTCAAAATGGTGTGGAAGGCAAAAACAAGGAATGGATGGAATCAGAAAAAAAAAAATGGAAACAGTAGATGATGGAGGAAAGGAAATTCCAAGAAAACAAAATACAAGGAAGGATATACCAAGAGTCCACTTTTGAACCTAACATTAAAATACAATTCATCCATTATCATTCAAACATGAAACCAAGACTACCTTCACCATCTTGTTTTCCTTTATCCCTTCTCCCGTCACTTCAATATTAGTAGACCAAGCCATCTTAGGTCCCATCAGTCTGACCTTGACCCCTGTGATCTCTGACCTCTCGATAACGAGGCTGGGGAGGGTCTGCTTAGCTCCAAGGATGTGTGGTGTCTCCTTGGTCAGTTGTTGCTGAAGGACCTTCACCTCAAGATGCTGGGTCAGTCTGTTGGCTATGACCAACTGGCCACTGATTATAACCTGTTTTATTTTAAAGAGATAACAACTGTTAGTAAGATATCCATATTTCACAATAAATACATTGTAAAAAGTTCATAGAAATATAATTAATTCCATTTTACCACCAAAAACAGTGGTTAATGCAATTATTCTGGAATTTGTGCTTGCCATCACATTATGTGACCTCCATAGATGGCTACTAGTACACTCTGAAATAATCTCTTAAGAGAATATAACAGAAAACCAGACTTTTTAGAAAAGGGTCTAACTTTGAATGTGGGAATGGATTCACTAACCATCAGTAAGTATGGGGAAATTGTCCTTTACCCCAGGAAATTCATTTTTTAGCCAAAATGAACAATTGTTATCCATTTAATATACATATATATTAACTAAAATGAAAAGTTATATAACACTATATAAAATATGGATAATTTATATAACTTTATATAAAATATGGATAATTAACTGACAGCAACCTGTGTCTGAAACATTTATTAGCTTCCCATTAATCATAACCTGTTCAATCAATTAAAACAGAATGTGTGTGACACTTAACTAACAGCATGTCAGTGGTGTGAATGATTGTGGTGAATAAAAATCACAATAGAGGAGGGCTTAATATGATACAGAATGTATAAAGAGAGTAATTTGAACTTGTTTTGATGTTTTTGAACTGATATCCAATATCAGCACCCATATAATTTGCTTCAGAACAAAATTTTCATTAAGCTTCATTTTTCTGCTGGAGACACTTCATGCCTTTATTAAATACCATTTCTTAATTATTTGCTGTTAAAACAGTGTAAAGCTTAATCTGTCACATACAGTTACAAGTACAATCATAATAAATTGCTGTGCTAAAGAAATAGAATTTGCTTCACTTTTATTAGACATTTTTAAAACAGAACTCAAAACATATCTATTAAAAAAGTTATGAATTTTTATAAGTGATTTGATGAAGTAACATTAATTCTACAATTCATTAAAATCAATTTACTTGTAATCAATTCCAATTTTGCTTTTCTTTGATCTCCCTATACATTAAGATTTTTGTTCACAATGCATTGTAAGATCTACTAAACAAATAGGATAGAAAATTAATCAAATAAATAAATTAAACAAGTAAACAAATAAATGAATAAATATAAGCCAGAAATTTAACGTAAAAGCCTTTAATATTTCCTCTACAGTTTAACTACATTCAACCATTGTGTCAGAAGGGATCTACTATACTTCAGTGATAAGGCTGCAACGTCATAGATCTATTTATAGCCTGGGCAATTCCACTGTCTACACACATCCTTTATATTGTGCTTGTTACAAAGTGCAGCTATACACAGACGAAATATATATATGAGCTTGTTTGAGTTTGCTTGAGGAAGCGAAATGTTGTAAAGCATAAAAAGATTGAGGGAATTTCTTACATGAAGTCAAGAGAGCACCTGAAGACATTTACAAGTAAGTAAATGCAATCAATCAATCAAAGTCTCTGTTATAGGGCTATTTGACTTCTGTGAAAAGTCAGACAAATTTGAAATAATAGCCACTCTTTTACAGTGATCCCCAAAAATAGGTCCATGAAGAAAGAAAAACAATGTTACCCACATATGATGGGGGAAAAATCTAAAGCCTGAATATAATGTAAAACTAATAAAGCCCACCATTTGTAACATTGCAGCTTGATATATACTATATGCACTTAATGTTGCACATGTGGACAAAGCGGCCAAATAAAAATAAAAGGTGAAGGCATTCATTGAAACCCCAAATTCTTCAGAACAGAATAAATACAAGTATCTGTTAGCTTTTTTTGTATATCTTAAATTCAACTTGTCTTTTTGGATCTGACCTCCAATCATAAATTTTTTCCACATTTATGCCTAAGCTAGGTCATGGGAGTAGATAGTGTACTTCCTAGTTAGATAAACTGTCATCATGAGACCATTACATTTTTATGGGTTGAACACATACACTATTTGTAAAACGCACTTTCACTTTGTCGTGTTTATTTTGTGTCTGTTCAGATATCTGATTTTATTAATACAGTCAGCTAATAAATAATATAGATTCTCTATGAAAGGGGGGGGGGGCAGGTTACGAAAAACACTTAACACATCATTTAAGCATTATAATATAATTGTACCAAACACCAGCATTCCATTTTCAAATTTTATGTCACATTAAACATGTGTATCTGGCTAATTTAGAGCAATTGAATCAAAACTCACTTTGTTTTCAGATCTTGTGACTGATCAAAATTCTAAACCCTGTGAACATCACCGATGTCAGAGCTTGAACAAAAGCTGATTTGATTGGCTGTGAACATTAAATGCAGTTGTCGGACACTTTTTCTGTGTAGTTTTCATACATAACTGATAATCAGTATGAGCCAGTACTACCCTAAACTGTGTGGGTTGGTTATAGACCATGGGGCACAGGCTCTGAGGAATTATATACAAAACAACATTGTTGATGTGTGGATACAGCAACAGCAGGGTCAGCAGCAGCAGCAACAACAACAACCATCTTCAAATCAGCCATCTCAAGTGCTACTTCAGCAGCAACAGAATTTACAGCAATTTCTCCAGGCAAAGAAATACATCTTAGATCAGCTGTACAAAAACAAAAAGTTGCTCAAGAAACATCAGTACGACCTTCTGTTTCCACGGCAGCAAAACCAACAACAGCAGCAGCAGCAACAACAAAAAAAACAACAGCAACAACAATCCAATCCCAACATTGCAGAGTTTGACATCACTCTCCTCTTTTTTCTAATCCGTCAACTCCACCCCAACCCTCCCTTCCAGCCTAACAGCAAGGAATGGGATGTCCCTGCTATGGCTAAAGGAAAACCTGGTCTTACCGCCGACCTGGAGGCAGCCATACACATCAAAATGTACAGAAACAAATTTGCCCATCCAAAATCAACTGACATGACACAAAAAGACTTTGAGGCATCATGGGCAGAGATATGCCAGCATATCATACAGCTGGGGGTGCCACAGTGTGACCTTGATGCCTTGAAGGTCAAATCCCTTGACCCAGCTTTGGAGAGATCATTCGTGGAAAGAATCATAACCCAAGAGAAAGAGGATGCAGAAATAAAAGCAATCCTGTCACAGATTTTGGAGCTTCTCAAACCAAATCCCTTCGCTTTACCACCACCATTACAAACCACAGAGCGAACTATCAACCAGGCAGCAGAACTGACAGGTAGGTTGAACAATGTGTGAAAACTATTTGTTGTCATAGCAGCCCATGATAAGCACCACATGAGTTACACCAAACAAGCTGATGACACTGTAGATCATTGAGACCTTATAAACAAGTTGTTTTTAAAAAACCATCATATTAAAGTAACTTATTGTAAACAACAGCTAAAATAAAAAAATGAACTTTTTTTTCACAATATTCTGTCTATCAGGTAAGTTTCCTTCATTAGGGAATAAAGAAACATAAGATTGTAAAAAAGTAATTATGATTTACTTCTGCTGTTGTTTAGAATTAACTGATAACAGCGACTGATATTGACTAGATTGTAATGGTTACTTTAACTCAAGTATTATATCATTGTATCTTCCTAAAGTGAGAGGGTAAAAATTTCATTACATTCTAGCCTCTTATCTCAAATCCCAATTTTGAAATTATAATGTTTTTCAAGTTTCTTGTACACTCAGGTTAACAGCATAGTGTCATTTTTATTTCAGAGGCTCAACTGCATCAACTCCAACTAAAACTGGCTTCCCTGTATCAGAAACGCTACAGTCGTATTCCAGTGATCCCTTTTGATCCAAAAGAAACCATGGATATTGAACAAATTTATATTGAGTTAAGACTCCTGAAAGATGCCAACTCTACTTTGGGACATTTTTTCAAACCAAATATTGTTCCACTGAATTCTTACTTGGATTTGTTTGAAATAGAAAATGGAAAATCTCCTCGGCGAATTGTTGTGCGCGGTGAACCAGGAAGTGGCAAGACAACCCTCTCTATGAGAATTGTGACCCACTGGGCAAACAGAATTCTGTATCTTTATAAAAATGAACAATCTCAATGTCAGTCCAAGGAAAATGAAACCTTTAAAGACAAACTACTCAATATCTTCAAACCTTCAAAAGATACACCACCAAGTTTGCAGATGACATCACTTGACCAGTTCCTGCTCATTCTTCCAATTTACTTAAGAAATGTCCGGGAAAATATGACTTTCCCTGAGATTTTAGATGAGAACATATTCCAAGAGGCTGACTTGGCACCCACGGGAATCACATTGCAGGACATATGGCAATTTATTAACTCTAACCCTCAGAGTGTGCTGTTGGTGTTAGATGGTTACGATGAACTGAAAAGTGGCTCAAATGCTGACCTTGAAGGTATCATACAGGACAGTAAAATGAGAGACATGACCATCATCACTACCACTCGCAACTGGAAGGCTGAGTATCTTGCTGATAAAACAAAGACTGATGTTCATGCTGAAATTGCTCCAATGAGCAGAAAGCATGTGCAAGAACTAACATGTAAATACTTTTCTATTCTAGCAACTGCAATTGAATTCAAACATGGGTGCTGGAGAAAACAGACATTTACAAAGGATATAAATGAGTATGCATCATTAATAGCTGCATGCAAATTTCTCAACTTCCTTGAAGCAAACTCCATGGCTGAGAAGATCACACCACTAACTTTGTTATACACTTGCCTTCTGTGGCAAAATGGTGAAGAAATCCATGTACCAACAACCAAAGCTAAACTCATTTCTGCAGTGCGTGAATATAGTTTGTTGCGTTACTGTGAAGCCCAACCTGATCCAAGCAAAGCAAAGGAAGAGGTGAAAAAAGAGATCCTCCCAAAACTTCAAAAGATGTTTTTTGACAGTGTTCTTGAAGACAAGTTTGTTTTCAGCACTGAAGAGATTGATGATGAAAGACTCTTCAGTGCAGGTCTGATAACTCAAGAAGTACGAGTTAAACCAATTTTACCTACTTTATCATCTGGTGAAGAAGAGGGGCAGTGGGGGAGATACAAATGTAAATATTATGAACCTGTTTATCTAAGAACAGCAGTTGAAAGTCATGCAGCAGACTACTTTGTGCAAAGAGCTCTACAAAATAGCCAAGACCCTCATGTTCAGAAATTCTTAAGGTACATCAAATCTGATGAAGGAAAACTGCGCTTGGGGAAAGTAACTGAATTTATTTTGGAACAGGCACCAAGCCTTTCTGAGCTATTTGAATGAGAGTATGAAATTAATTTTAATTGTAACAGTGGCAGAAATCCCTTTCCACTTTTCTACAGTGCAACAAACATGATAAATGTAGGGAAAACTAAATTAAGTTCTTTAAAACATCTATTACTGGATGGGCAATTTAGTTCAATTGACAACACTGCAGCATCTCTGCAGTGACTTCAGCCAGTCAACAGAGAGGAATTATTCTGACTTATTATGTAACGAGCACCTGGAGTCACTGTTTTGTACCATTTTTGATAAAATACCATGATTCATTTAGACTACCATGTCTCCCTGGCATTTCAGAAGGGAAACCCCATATCAAGTGCTTAAATCTGAGGGGTTTTATCATTTTAAGGTATGAATTAAGAAATATATGGAGCTCTAAGGGCATTCAGACATAAAAATGACCTTGGCCCATTAAAAATGTGTATATATTATATCTTTAAGTGTTTTACCTTAACAACCCCTAAATCATCACTGAAAATACTGAAGGTAATTTGATAAACCAAATGATGACCAAATAGCAAGTAATAAACAACCAACCTGTCTCTGAAGCCCAGATATGACCTTGACCTTGATGAGGAAGGTGACCTTGTGACCTTTGTGGTCAATGGTCCTGATGACGGTGCCAGGTTTCTCAATTTCAAAAGGATCACACCACTTCATGTTTTTACCCTCCAGACACACCTGGAGAACCTGGAATTTAATGAGGAAAAATAATTGAAGTTAAATCTCAGATCACAATTTTGACTTTGGCTGAGGTCTCCTCTTGGCTAGGTTCCCACCCAAAGCTGGGATAATTGACCTTTGCCTTTGGTGTCAGTCAATTATCCCTGCTTAGGGTTGGACCTAGCCATGAGGTGACCAAAACACTTTGTGATATGATTATTAAGTTTTATGATCAGAACTCTGAGAGCATAACATGGCTAATAAAAATCTCTGCTGGAATCTTACAGCCTTATCTTTTTTATTTCAATTACAAAATCCTTTTTTAAGAAACCACTACCTGTTGTTTCTTGTGGCTTCTCCAACTGTATGCATGCATTTCTCTGCTCTGTAGAGAAATATTTTCATCAGAACCAACTTGGCCAAACCTAAAATTGCCAAGAAAAAAAAAGGCATTCATCAAGTCATCCATATTCAAAGTGTTCACTCAGTATGGAGACGAAAGTGGCAATTTATTGCCACAACTTCTTACAAATCTTGGCCACCTTTTCTGAACTTTCACCTTATGTCCACTGTCAGAAATCCGTGTCAAAACTTCAAGGAAATATGTGTAGATATGAGGACATTTTGCATTTTTCTCAAAGATGTAATAATTGAAAAAAAAAAAAAAAGAAACAACATGAAGTAGAAATATTGTTGGTTCAAGAACAAAGAGTTGTTTTTTTGTTGTAGTTGTAATTATACAAAATGGCTGGAAATACCTGATAGTGCTTAAGGTATCGTTACATATCATGTAATAATTCACTATCACTTTCTCGGCTTGGGCAGTCTGCTGCAACTGTGCCCAGGTCTGAACCATGACTCCCAGGGTGTGAACTGTGCTCTGTCCTATGTGTAAATACACAGGGTCAATCTTCACATCACATTCTAAAGTGGACTGAAATAGTTAGAAAAGACACATATTTAGTTGCGACTCCCAGGGTGTGAACTGTACTCTGTCCTATGTGTAAATAGATAGGGTCTATCTTCACATCACATTCTAAGGTGGACTGAAATAGTTAGAAAAGACACATATTTAGCCGTGACTCCCAGGGTGTGAACTGTACTCTGTCCTATGTGTAAATACACAGGGTCTATTTTCACATCACATTCTTAAGTGGACTGAAATAGTTAGAAAAGACACATATTTAGCCATGATTCCCAGGGTGTTTTTATTGACCCAGTTATATATTTCTTAAAGACAATGCAAACAAATTTTGTGCAGTTGCAGAATAAAATTTTAAGTACCACGACAATTCTGTTATAACATTTATCAAAAGTTTACAAAGTTAAATCTCCAGGGAAAAATTTACTGATCATGATAATTTCATGTAAACTTGCCCTAGAGCAATGAAACTTTTGGTTTATGTAAATGGCTCAGCTCTCATATCTAGTTTTCTCACCTCTGTCCCCAGGGTATATTGTAAGCTAGCACTAGCAGCCACAGGATCCACTAAGGTTTGGGTCGTCAGATTTCTGTATTCCACAATATCACACTGACCAATGCCAGTCACCTGTAATTATGACACAATTATTATATTCCACCCTGAATTCTGAGGAGTGCTGGAATACTTATATATTTTTCAGAAATAACAGAGTTATTTAATTTGAATAGCATGTTAAACTCAGGGTGGTTGTGTAGCACTGGCAGAATTTCCCATTGACAAATGCTTGGTACTTGGCAGAAAAAAACATAACGGTAATTGTTCAGACAATATCATAATCATACTTTTAAGTTTGCCATTCTTTCATATAACATTCCAAATAAGAACTTTTCAATAAAAAATCAGCCATATGTAAAATTTTATCTAAAAAGTTGTTTCAATTTTTTCGGTTTACATTAATCAAAATTGGTCTTCAAAACAACTGAGTACTTCTATCCTGTAACTGGCCTTGTGACCATAACTCTCACCTGTCCAGTGGTCTGTAGAGTTTCATCCATCCATATGGACATGTCAAAGCTTGGGTCATCTACTGTAATGGTCAAGACATCTTGGTCCGAGGGGCTACAATTGTCCAGGTAAAATGGACACAGCTTGCTGGGAGTTGCTGGGGGTGAGAAAAAAAAACAAAAAAAAAAAAAAAAAAAAAAAAAAAAAAATCTATATTTTTATATCAGTATGGGATAAAATAAGGTAATTTAGTCCAATAATGACAATATATTTTCCAAAATGGTTGAATTGGTTTTTCATGCTAACATTGTTAATTCTAGCCAAATGCTATTTCTCTATGCTAAAAAAAATGTGTTACTTTTAACTTAACTTATNGGGAGTTGCTGGGGGGTAAAAAAAAAAAAAAAAAAAAAAAAAAAAAAAAAAAAAAAAAAAAAAAACAATCTATATTTTTATATCCGTATGGGATAAAATAAGGTAATTTAATCCAATAATGACAATATATTTTCCAAAATGGTTGAAGTGGTTTTTCATGCTAACATTGTTAATTCTATCCAAATACTATTTTTCTATGCTAAAAAAATGTGTTATTTTTAACTTATTTTTGATACAGATCAAAAGGTTGATTTTTCGTCATTTGTCCCTCTTGGGTCAAAACATTGTAAGTAGTTCCCATAGCTTTACCAATTTCATTATCAATTTTGCTAAACTTTTTGATTTTCTTAATATTATCCATCTCTGTACCTAAAACTAAATTACCTCCTTTGTCCTGATATTAGTAGTAGATCCCATAATTTTGCCATTCCATTATCATTTTTGTTAAAATATTTGATTTTTTAAAAATATTATCCATATCTGTGACTAAAATAAAAGCACATTTGCCAAGATGTTAGTAGTTCCCATAGCTTTGCCAATTTCATAATTAGCATTATTAAAATTTTTAATTTTCTTAATATTATCCATCTCTTTGACTAAAGAGAATAGTTAGTACATGGAGGGACCCTACCTTTGCCAAGATGTTGGAAGTGGTTACTCATTCTCATCACCAGTAGCGAGGCAGTACACTGAAATCTCACAGCTGGGACCAGTGCTGGTAAAATACAGGAGTCCACCCTCATAGAGGCTGCTAGTGTCATTGGTGACACAACTGGGTCAGGGCTCTCAGACTGGGATCTGTTTCAGGAATAGTATCTATTGATTATTTACATATATAATAAATATAAGTTTTATTTTCAAAATTTTCGGTTATAAAATTCCTCCAAAGTATAACCTCAAACATTTTGCTAAAATCAATTTTTTGCTTCTAGCTGTAGCTGACAGTACTCTTAAGTATAAAGTACCCCATGAGCTTTGCTGAAATCAAGATTTTCTAATTCTAATTCTGAAATTACGCTCAAGTCCAACCCCTTGCCTTTTGCTAAAATCATTCATTTTGTCTAGAAAACTAGTTCTGATACTTAACTCATCTTTAACTCTTTTAACACCATAGAATAAATATCTTGAACTACCATCAGGAATGCCTTCTATATAATGGTAATGCTACATAAAACTTTAACTCAGACCCTATCTTCAAGTCAAAAATAAGTGAAACTGCTCAGACCATACGGTTTTTCATCAGCATCAAGTATGAACACATCCCTAATCCATGAACCACTTGTCTTAGTTTCATTCTTTGTTTTACTGAGAAAAATTACGCAGAAAATACACAAACAAACACACATCACAGCATCTTGTAGTTGAAAAAAAAACCCTAACCACATGCAGGCTCTCATATAATCACATTAAATATTAATAAATTAATAAATTAGTTAACAAATACATCAGTTAAGTTGTGTTAACCTTTCCTCCCTGTCTCCATGATAGATAAGTACTCTCCACACTTGAGCTACTGTGGGCTTGTCTTGTAAACCTGGCAGCTCCACCTGGCAGTCGTTTCCCTCTGTGATTTGGAACTGTTGGTAGTCAATGTAGTTTTTGTTCAGTATGCACCAGTACTGCAGAACACAGTCAACCTAGAAATATTACATTAAGAATATATGAAATTTATTGCTACTATGATTTTTACACCAAGTAATGCTTGTTCAATGTAAAACTTTCTACAACTTATCCATCTCTCTTTTCACTTGTGGTAACATACATTTATCTCTTAACTAGTATAAAACTCAGAATCTCTAAAAAGTAAAATGAAATATAAATGTACCATTTCGATAAGAGTTAAATAACATCAGAATCCTTTGAAAATAAAAGGAAAGGTGAATGCAAAAGGAAGTGAAATGATACATTAACACACAATCATCTCTCTTTTTCTTTCACCCAAACCCTGCTAGCAGTATCACACACACACACACACACACACACACACACACACACACACACAGTGTACACATACCAGACACATACATACGTACAGTACACATACATACACACATATATACAGTACACATACACACATATACAGTACACATACACACACACATACAGTACACAAACATACTGTGCACACACACACACATACAGTACACAAACATACAGCGTGCACACACACACACATACAGTACATAAACATACAGTGTGCACACATAGAATCACACACATACACTACACACACACACACACACACACACATACACTACACACACACACACACACACACACACACACACACAGGCACACACACATACACACACACACACACACAGACACACAGGCACACACACACACACAGGCACACACACACACACACAAACCTTGCCAGTGAGGCTTAGCTGGCTGGTGCTAAAGGGAACTGGTGTTATGTGGACTTTGGTTAGTAGTCTGGCCTCTGGATAACACCAGGCCATGAAGGCCACATCCTCTTCTTCATCAGATCCAAACACTATCTCTCCAGCCTCGGGGGTGACATCTGGGGTATCTAAGTACACCAAATCAGAATAATGCACTTATTAATTATACAGATTTTTTTTATACTCACTTTAATATTAAATAACTTTTTCAAGATTTATTCTTATGGTTACTCACAAATATTAAATTTTCTTTTTCATCTATAAGCCCAACTAGAAATTTCTATTTCTTAAGGCATTATCTAAAAATATAACAGGCAGTAAACCTGGTCAAATTAGTTGAAATCCAAAATTGAGAGAGAGAGAGAGAGAGAGAGAAGGGAGGGAGGAAGGAAGGGAATAAAGAAAGAAGGTGAAAGCAGACAGATTAAAAGGGCAGCAGATTAAGGTTCTAGGTAAGGAAGGAAGAGTTAAAAAACACAAGAAAGAAAGTAAATTAAGAATGAAAGGAATACTTAGCTAGGACCAAGGACATGCTTACCATTAGTAAAGACATATTGGAATGCCCCTGTTCTAAGATCATCCACAGAGCTGACTCCCTGGTCATTTTTCCTGGTTTTCTTGGTCTTCTCTCTCCTCCTCTCTCTTGTTGATCCAGACTTTGTGTGGACACTAGTTGTCTGTTGTAGAATCTGAAATCCACAGATCTTAGTTTAATCTGATATCTGGGAATGATCTCCCAGCCTTAGCTTGACCAACATTTTTTATGTAATGTAACCATATTAGCACATCCAAACCCCATATTACCCAGTTGTATAGTATGAAACAATCTTCTCATTTAATCTCATGGACACTGCAATAATTATTAAGTTTTGTGTAAAAAAATGAAGATATGATCCTTGGACTGAGATACCCAAGCATCACTTTTGAAACTTTTATTGAGGATGAAACAAATAAAATATATTTAAATAGTAATATAATATAGAATATAAACAATTAATAAGATCAAAATAAGACATCATGTATGGATGGTCATACATAATGGCAACAGAATCCAATAATTTTCCTACCTTGTTGTAAATACTCCAATGTTTAGCCAACGTCAACATGCACAGTGCATGCTCTTGTCCGACACAAATCTGCACGGGCCCACACTCCACGCTTGCACACACCTGTGGCAGCCATCTTGGTCCACTGTGCACTATCCACTGTAACTGGGCGTCCATGCTGGTGGACAGTGGTCCCAGGAGTGGACGGACAGTGGTCTGGTATCGAGTCTTGACCAGTATGTTGCTAAGCCAGGCTGATATGCTGACTACTGAGAGAGCACCTGAAATATTGTGTAAATCATTATTTTATGCATTTTTCATCATTAAGAAAAACAATACAGATCCCTGTACTCCCAAAACAAGACGGGTTGTTGCAAGTTTTTATGGTTTCTTTAGGGGTCATATATTAAAGCCATGTTGAACTAGGTAGTGTTCATATAGTGTACATGTATATCACAGCATAGAAGTGTCCAAGATAAAGTAGGATATATAAAGTACAGCATTTTGGTCAAGTGTTCAATATTGATGACTAACAATGACAATGACACGTTTCACAAAGAAGAACTAAACTGTGAATCAAAATAAGATATAATGTCTCGAAAATAATTTTTTTTAATATCAACCTACAGACTAATGCTGAAAGTGTATTATTCCTCTCAATGCCTGACAGTGGAAATGTCAACCACACCCTCCCCTCAGGCTTCTCACTCCTCTATTTTTTTCCTACATCTTACCCACCTTCATCAGCTTCTAGCTCGATACCAGCCTGGAACTGTGACAGCGCCATGAGTATCCCAGCATGCTCCTCATGTGGCACTGTTGTCATGGCAACCACCAGCTGGACTGTGCCTATCTTGATATTGCGGATAGCACCGAGGTATCTCACATAGGCTGGTACTGACCCTGAAGCCTTCTCTGTGGACTCTAAAGTGAGGCAAACACAAAAATACAATATACTTGAATTACAAAATGTGATGATGTTAGCCATTACAGAATATGTGGCATCCTTGGATTTTTTAAAAACATTGAGGATTTTTTTTATAAGTAAATACAATAAACTTAAATTACAGATGCTGTTTACCATTACAAAATAAGTGATATTCTTGGATATTTCTCATTTTTGAGGATTTTTTTTAAAAATACAACATATTTGGCAGAATGTTGATGAATTAACAGTATTATAATTATAGTAATAAATATCAACAGTAAAAGAAAATATTTTGCTGTAAGAGTAAAGTCACCAGAGAAGACCAATTTTGTACCAGCTGGATCAGAATCTGAATCTGTCGTCAGTTCCTTTTCTCCAGTTGTCTGCTGCACAGTTTCTGATGACTGTCCCGCAGCAACTGTCGTCTCCTCCCTTTGTCTCAGTTGTTCCAGTGTCTCCTGCACTAACTCTTTAACTTGCTCCAGTAGCACCAAGCTAAGTTTCAGCTTCAGAGGCCTCTCTATACTCACAGTAAGTCCAGCTTTGGAATAAAGCACAGTATAATTTTATAAGAGTCAATTTGAGAATAAGTAAATGAGACTGAATACTTGCTGCTCATCTTTTATGGCCAATATTTCTGAATATTTCAAAGAAAGAACCAAGAATAATTTTGTAGAATGTTTACCATTTATCTTATTCAACTGTCAATACTTTTCGTAACTTCACCTGAGGATACAATAAATATTTCCATATGCTTACCTTTCCCAGTAAGAAAGTTTTCTGCTTTAAAAGTATACAGACTTGGAGGTATGCCTGTCTTGGGATCAGTCTCCCCTGCACGTGTCTCCACCCAGTGGGCAGTAAAGTCACCAAGGTCTGGCAACATCTTGAAAGGGTCTACAACACAAAAAATGCTGACCTTATCAAAACTACAATTATAAGAAGAGCATATTCTTGTCTTTGACTCAACACCAACACAACAGGAGCCATCCACTGTATGCGACATACAAGAGTGTAATTATATCAAAGTGCAGCTTCAATATAATTTACACACTAAGTATTAATATATGGTACCTATGTAACTGTTCGGTCATAGCCTTTGTAAATTGTGATAGAACTAATAAAGATTATTAATATTAATAATTTGTTTTTGAATGACAGCTGTAGACAATGAGTAGCTGTAACTGACTAATTCCATGATTGGAGCTTCAAACAAAAGAGTGAACACACTCAAGCATATTAAAATATAGGATAGCATGTAAGCAAAATAAAAGAAACTAAACCCTATTGTTCAAAGTGCTGGCTGTGAGATAAAGCAAATAACAGGAATTATAGTGTCAGAATAACTGATTATGTAATTGTGAAGTTACCCAAATGGTCCTTACCTTCTAAAATATACCCAGACTTTGCTCCCTTTAGAGTGACATCGTAACAAGACATCTCCAGTTTCTGTCTATCTGGATGACAAGATGCCACGCTGTGAGGCTGAGAGAAATATGCATAGAAATATGGCACCGTATCAATAACTCCTTCATCCAACTGTCCAGCTTGACCACCATTATCTTGGTCCAAGTTTTCCTCATGGATTGCTTCACTCATACTGTTCTGTGGGGTGTAATACACACTTTCACTTCGCTCAAAACTAAAGAATGACTCAGCACTTTTGTCTTCCTCCATTTTGTCCAAGGGCTCCTCAAGGTCACTTCTCTTTCTAGTGGCCGAGTGACCGCTTGCTTTTATCTGTGAAAGTAAGTTTTCAAGAGTTGAGTCTTTCCTGCAGTGGACCTTTGCTACTCTGTGAGAGTAACAGGTGAAGGAGATTCTCCCTGCTGTTAGCAAAATGTCAAAGGGGGTGACACCCTTCAAAGGATTCACCCCTTTTTCTTGGGAGCTGAATCTCTGCGAAGATGTTGCCTCGGCCCTTTGGGTGGTGCCATCAGAAATGGTGCTTTGCGTTTCTGAAATTTCGGATGACTTAGCTTTGGATTTGGCCTCTCTTGTAGCATGATGCCCCCTATCTTTTTGGCGTTGTTGTTTCACTGTGCCTGATGTGATGTTAGTGGTGAAAATGTCGTAGAATAGCCCCACCTGATTGGTGCTGAGGTAGAAATCCATGTCACTGGTCACGTTCACTTCGGCAGAGTAGCCACACACTATATTGGACTATATGGGAAAAAAGTGAGGAAACGAAAGGGAAAATCAGCTAAAAACAGATACAAAATAATAAAATTTTTGATTAAAAGTTTTTTTTTTTTTTTTTTTTTTTTATTCGCTTAACAATCATAAAGTCTTTTTCTGAATAGTTATACTGGTATACTATGTAATCTATGGTTATTCCTTTTGCAAAGTTTAAATAGGAAGAAATCAACCAAAATTCCAGATTTTCTCACCTTTGTGACACTGGTTTCTACAATAGCTGGAGCAAGAACTATTCTTAAGTCACAACTGGCACACAATGGGAACACTTTTACTTCAGATTCCTCACTGAAATGACAAAATTTACAAAAAGAACCATCTCAGTCTAAGACTTATTGAAATTTTAGTTAATATCAGGGCATTAGTCAAGCGACTGTCCATCTGGCTTTTGGACTGTTATTTTTTAATGTATGTATTAATTCATCTATTCAGTTCCTCAATGGATCATGCATCCATTTTATTGATGGACTACGAAATATTCAGTTCTAATTGTCATTATAATTATTTTGAAACCTGTGCTTTTTCTGACAATGAACTCACTCTCGCTGTAGCAGCTGGTTCCATTCCAGAGCAGGATTCTGTATCCTCTCCTCCTTCTCCTCCAAACTGCCTGACCTTGACCTAGATTTTGCAATCAGATCCTTCCAACACCCTAGAAACACAGTGACATAAACAGTAAAAGAATTGGAATATCCCTCCAGAAAAAAAAGGTTAAATAATATACGTAAATTAAAAAAGGGAAAAACTAATTTCCATGTCATGGTATTATATATATATATTAATGTATAAGAACAGAACCAGATGAATAACCATGTTCTCCACATCTCTTGCCAAATATCATGTTAAAAATCTCAGTTTTTGTATCATTTAAAAAAATTTGATTAGAAAGGGGCAAAGAACCTGTCATGACAGCCATTCCACTGATGTCCATCTGGAACTGCCTGTCCTCTAACTCACCACCCAACTGGTGTGTGCTGTGAGACTGGAGGGCTTGGTGGTATCTGGAAATAAACAATCAATAACCTGTAGGATTTAACTTAATAATTTCAAACTCAATAATTTCACTTTCATCAAATTAGCCTATCTATTATTGTTAATTTTATTTATTATTGTACAGAACTTCCTTATCTAAAGTGCCATGTAGAGAAAAATTGAATTTTTTTCTCATTCCTGTAGTTAATATATGATAATTTTAAGTAAGTGGAGAAAATCTCACACTGGGATATTAAAAAATAATTATTTCAATCATACCTTTCCTTGTCCACCACCAGTCGGGGCAAGGGGTTGTCAGCATGAGGTTTTAAAGTCACTGTCTCCAGCTGAACAATGCACACATCGTGATCCAAGGTACTGCATACACGTGGACAAGACATCTGTTCCCTTGGTATAGTTGCCAAGCTGGACTGATGATCAGACTGACTGAGCCCAGAAGACATTTGTGATGGTGCACCATGGGTGGTAGACATTTGTGATGAAGTAACCTGGGATATATCTGCCTGAGATGTACAGCTTGGAATGAAAAGTCTAAAATTGCTTATGTTAAGGTAGGCCAGAGGGAGGGCACTGCCTGAGATAACACTAACATTTGACCTTGACCCCTTTGACCTTGACCCTGCTTCCGTTCCTCTTGGTGACTGAGAAGAGGGTAATATCATGTTAACTGCACTCAGAATGACTGGGCTGTACAGGACAATGTCACAAGGCTGAACATTGAGACAAACCTCATTAAGATACATGCGACCTTCACCCTGACCTCCACCCTGACCTTGAACTTGAGTGCCATCCATATTAACCTCACTGTTCATTCTTCTCAGTTTATGCTGCACACTTTTACTCAGAGCTCTGGTGAAGGTGATGCTAGCAAAGACATGGCTCTTGTCACGAGGTTTGAGCTCGTTAAGTCCGTAGAGGCTAACAATAGGCTGGTTGCTTGACGACCACAGTTTATTGGTGATGACGTCCACCTTTTTGGTCAGCTGGTCTTGGCAGGTTAAGATGATTCCCTCAAATGGTCCTGGGGTCCACTCTCCACCAGTGCTGAATGTTATTCAATCACAGAAAATATGAAATTAATATATCTAAACTGTTATCAGGCACATATTAACTAGAATCACTCTCAATCACTGTACTAAAATGGTCAGTTATCTGGAATAATTTTAGGTAAACTCACTCTAGGCAGAAAAATTTATCTCCTTAAAAGTTAGTGAACCCATTGAATATATTTGTAATTTTTCAGACATGTAAAATGGAGTTTATCAAAAGAAGGGTAGTATCATAGTCTACCTTACATACAGTATTATCTGCTTATTATATATGCAGAATTAACTATTTTATCAGGAATTTTCTACTCATGATAAAGGAGGCCCAAAGAAAAACTTATACTAGATACTATAAGAATTTAACTCACCTCCTTGTCAAATGGGACATGCAAATGGCGCCCACTTTGGAGTTGACTTTGGAGTAGACCTCCTGTATGTCTATAGATGTGGTGAGATCTTCCACCTCCAGAGATATACATAGGTCTGGAATAACACATAAGGCCGGCTTTAAAATGTGTGTGTGTGTGTGTGTGTGCGTGCGTGCTTGCATGAGTGTGTGCCATGCCTGCTTGTGCTGGCATGTGAGTCTGCAATAAACCGTTTCCGTGGAGATTCTGTTTCTTTTACATTATACGGCACTCACATAAATTATGTGCACATGCATGTGACTGATTGTATAAGGTTTTCTCGATCATCTTCAATTATCTGATCATTAATATGGACATACAATCAATCACTTCAGTTAAAAAAAGTCTACACAGATGGCCAGTAAAAGTCAAGTCTTATCACAGACCTTTCCCTGCCTTGTCCACCCCATACAATTTGGTGGTCAGTTTGGGCAGTGTCCACTGCAGCCACAGAGACAGTCTTAATGTGCCCCCCTGGTCAGTCTCTCTCACTGGTGTAGGGTCTCTGGACAACAAACCATCAGAGGTGTCGGTCAGCAGGCTCTCCCCAGTGTCCATCAGACTAAAGGAGAAAATAAAAGGATTTTATTTGACTGAAATAAAATGTAAGAACTAATAAAACAATATTTATAATAAGTCTGATTTCACTAAAATGGCCTCTTGTGAACAGATAATAATAATAATAATAATAATAATTATTATTATTATTGTTGATTTTATAGAATAAATAAAATAATGGACAAGTCAAAATTATGAAAAAAAAAAAAAAAGAAATGTGTGCTATAGACATGACTCAAATGTTCAATTTTTATTGAATGCCCATGATAATTTACTGTGGCTCCACCTACCTAGATGACGGGTCACTCCTAAACCCCTTCGGTTGTGGAGACCCTGAAGGGTCTGACCTCTGACCTACAGGGAGTTCACCCCCAGGATACACTGCCCCAGGGATTTCAGGGTGTGGCTGACTGCTGGGTGTGGTCTTTGACCCCAGGGTATTATTGACAGAGGTCACTGAGGACAGGACGCTGTCTGACATGGACAATAGCTGACCAGTCAGTTGAGCTAGAAGCTGGACCTGGATAATATTGGACGCATAATAGCCTTGTTATACATATATACATATATACAAAGTTTCATAACTCGGTAAGTAAATAATCAATAATCGAAAGAAACATACTGGACTTCGAAGTTTTTAAACAAATGCTTATCTTGGTCTAGGATACAGTTATTTTTAATAATACAAAGGTTAGTTTGGTGGAAGAAAAAGCAAATTTATCCTACATTTTTTTCAGTTAAGTTGACCAAATTAAAATGTTTAACATTTAGCTAAAATTTTCCATCTTCAAAGCCGTAATTCCTATTAACTGCATACCTATTTCTGTGAACACCCCATTTTTGAATGCCCCAGATTATTTACTGTGGCTCCACCTATTAATTTCGTACCTGTTTCTGTGAACACCCAGCATGCACTGCTCCCATGTCAGCATGGACACACAAACTGAGAGAAGACAGGTGCTCTGAGGATGGAGGGTTGTATTTACTGGTCACTGCTATTGTAGTGGACAGTCCAGACGGCTTGACCAAAGGTAAAGACACCTTGCCGGGGTGTATGCTGTAGATGCTGAAGTTTGAGACCTGGATGTTCCACGGGAGCTTCTCACCTGTTATATAGAGTCAACGTGAAGGTCAGGTCAAACGTCAAGGTGACAATTTCTGCATCATACATTTTGAAAATTGAAAGTATATTGGCACGAAAAAAAGGAACAAATAATAATTGTAGCAATTTTTGCCAAGCATTACAGTCAGAAACTAGGAAAACTTAGGAGTATGTAGCAAGAATCAAAAACATTAAAGGGATAATAACTCTTCGTATGAGATCAATATTTCACAATAAAAACATTGTGAATAACTCATAGAAATATAATATATTCTGTTTTACCACAAAAACGGCAGTTATAACTATTATTCTGATATCTGAGCTTGTCTTTAGACCACGTGACCTCCACTGATGGCTATACTCTGTTAAAATCTCTTAAGAGATTTTAACAAAAAACCAAACTTTTTAGAAAAAAACCAGGGACTAACTTTTAATGTAAAAATGGATTCATTAACCATTGGTAAGTATGGGAAAATTGTTGTTTACTCCAGGAAAATTCATTTTTAGGCCGAAACGAAGAGTTATTATCCCTTTAAGAAAACACAACTATGTTAAAATCACAATATACACTGTATATAAATGCAACTATAACTATATAACAATCTCAATGACCACTGCATATTATAACACATACTACCAACCTGCTATAGACTGCTGTAGAAATTTAATAGGAATTTCCTGTACTGCCTCTATAGCCTTATGGCCCATACTACACAGGTGAACACTGGGCAGACTGACCACCAGGGTGTCTGGAACCCCTACTGCCCCCTGGTAGAGTGACCGGAGGTCAGTGTGTAAGTTGGCCGTGGGGTCCATAAAGACGAGGTGACGACTTGGGAAGAAGACACAACTTGAGGATATGTCAACCTGAGGAAGAAAAGGGAAGTGTTGGGTTCAAGTGATTTGGGATATAATAAATGAAGTTCTCAAAATTGATTCCTGGATTTAAAATCTGGTCTAACTGATGATGTTGCATCTCTCTCTTTTGAAAACTTCAGTTAAACTACTCAGAATACAGGTTTAGTGGAACTATTTTTAGTCTTGCTGTGAAATCTGTGAGGAAGATGTCTGATCATAGTAAAATGAAAAACAATTTTCACAAGTGGTCTTCCCATATTGTTTAATATGTTTCCTGTTTCTTTCTTTTTTATGATAAAAAAATTTATGTTGTTTTCAGTTATAAATACATAAGGACTGGCATAATCTCAATTTCTAATGTATGCTGTGCATTAAGCCAGACAAATATCCACCTGTCTTTTGAACTAGTCTCCCTATTCCAATTTTGGGCTGCCATTCTTTTTTATTATAATTTGGGGAAGATGAAGCCTAGACAAGCTATTCTTAGTTAGAAAATGAATTGGGAGTCCCAATTAAAAAACAATTCTGGGTAAACCCTATATTTGTCAAACTTAAGGATATGTCAACACTTGCCTGAACTTCCATAATCTTCACATCATGATACATCCTACTCAACCAAGCCTTCAAACCTTTCTCTCTCTTCTCTTCTCCTTCTTCTTCTCCCCCTTTCTGTTCTTTGTCCACATCAACTGGTTTTGTGTTGGTGGTGGTGGTCTGGGATCTTGAGGGGGTGCCAGAGGGAATGGTCACAGTGCTGCTTGATTTTCCTGAGCCTGATGAAAATTAATCACTTTGTTAACCTCAAAGGTGCCAAAAATTTTGGATCACTGATTTGTGAAGATTTTACTTCAGGCTCAAGAAACACACCCATTTCCTTTAATGGTAATGTGACATGTATCAAAAAGGTGTCAATCACTTCTTCAGGCTCAATAAACACACCCACCTGTTTCCTTCAATGGTACTGTGGCATGAGCCAGCATGCTGTCAATCACTACCTTAGGCTCCTCCTCTTCCTGTTTGTTGTGGGGTTCATATATAATCCAGTCGTGTAACACAGGGTCCACTGTACACACAATACCCTGGACATTGGCCAGAAATACAGAGGGTGCTGAAATATTTTTAATTAATTTTCTGGTAAAATTGCACATTTCCCATGAAATGTCCCTTTGTGGTGACATGTCCAAATGGTTCTAACTTTTAAAAGACAGAGGTGGCTCCATGATATACAAATATCTTATAACATTTTCAAAAACGTCATCATACAATATCTATCATCTTAAACAGGAGGTTAGAGTAACAATGGTCACAATTACACACATTATCCCTTTTCAAATCAGTTTACATTGGCTCACTTGAAATAGTCACCTTTCAAAGACTTGTAATTAAGAATACTTCCAGATACAACTCAGTAAAAATATCAATAAAACATTTTTGTCTTTTGTCATTTACCTAGAGGTGTGGCCACGTCTTTGGGAGTTTGCCACGTGAAGGTAATGCAGTCCACGCTGCTGCCGAGTCCCCCTTCAGTGTGCCTCATCTCTGCCTGAACCCCCTCCTGGGCCTCTTCAGTAGTAAAGAAAGATGGTATGTACAGTCCTGATGTCTCCACTGGGCCAGAGAGTACTGGACTGATCTCCTCCTTTTTTTCTTTTTCTGAAAAATAAGTAATAAATAAAGGAATAAATAAATGAATGAATGCATACCTAAATTAGTAAATAAATGAATGAATAAATAAATTAATAAATAAATAAAAATCTAGCCGAATAGCTGGTCACTCTTTGTAAAATCAAGCTCTTCTGTGTGTGTAAAATATCCCCTTAAGCCAAAAAGTAATCTACTTAACATTTGGTTTGAATTGAACATACAAGAATTAGCCCAGAATAAAAGTTACTCATTTAGCTATTAAGTAGTTCAGTTGTTTAGCATTTACCAACACATGACACAAATCATAACATGTTTTACAATAAACTTGGTGAGGAGATTCCCGAGTATGGCCATGCCTATGACAGACTTACCCCTTGTCAATACAGCAGCATATATGGACCCTAGGATACCACTGGCTGCTCTGTCTGACGATGTGGAACATCTCTTCCACTCCACCCCATTAACACATATCTCTAACACTGGCAGGGAACCTAGAAAATAGAACATATAATCACAACACAGTGACTACAGAATCTACAGGCCTGTAGCCAGGGGGTTTCCGGGGTTTGAAAGAAATGCCCTTTTTGTCGGAAAAAGGTCCATTCTGAATAAAATTTGATCAAGGTATACAAAGGTTTCTTTGTTAAAGGTCCACTTTTTCAGTAAAAGACCCCCCCCTTTTTTTAATTTGCTGGCTACAGTCCTGATCTAAGAGGTGTGGTTGCCTACTGGGTATGTACCACCAACTGTGCTGAGCAAATTTTAAACTTAACTGCCAATAACAATGCCAATGACAGTCACATAAAACACTTGCATCAAAGCTGCAGATAGCACACAGTCATAACACTACAGGATCAGAGAGGTTTGGCTGCCCTCATGGTATGTACCGCTGGTAGGGTTGAGCAAAGTTTCAAATGAAATTTACAACCAATTATGAATCAGCAAAAATTGACAAAATAGTTCTTAAAATTTCCTAGGCATGTTAAGATCCTCCAGAACAGTGACATAATAATTAAACAATAGTTAGAAGAGTCTTAACAGTTACATGTCTTTCTATCAGGTGAAAGACACTGGATAACTACAGTAAGCAGAACTTAAAATTTGCTCATCCTATTTGCAAATTCAGTTCCTTGATCATGTCACATGTACTCCAATTCTTTTTTGTCTGATTTAGGATAATAATAGTGACTGAAGACCTTACCATGTCTACTGAAGACATCATCCATTAAGCTTGTCTGTAGTAGTTTGCGAGGTTCAGGTTTATCTACCTTCCATGATGCTAAGTGGTGTAGTGCCAGCAGCAGCTGTGCCTTGGTTCCATTCAGTGTTATAGAGGGGAGCTCCCAGGTAGACTGCCACCTTACCTGGTGCAGATCCTTCCTAGAAGTGAATTACATTTTAATTAGCACCTTCTTTTACTTACAGAAGAAATCACTTGTGTCTGGCATGAAAATAAATAAAATAAAATGTGTGCCTTAGAACCAATGCATAAAGTAAAATATAATTAATAAAACAAAACAAAACAAACAACTATTATTATACAAGATAAGAAGAATTTCATATGTCGAGTATGTTGTATGAATAGTACCATCTTAAGAAAATTAAATGGAAAATATTTTATATTTCAATCTGCAGTTTTTCACAATTTTCAGTTACTCCAACATATCATGAATAAAACAAAGGATTGTTCATATTCAGTCTTCACATTTTCAAAATACCCAGGCAAATTTTCATATAATATGTCCTTCATTACAACCGTACATAAAAGTATCATCTTCAATCATAACACTTAAGTTACCAGTAGGGATTCAGGAGAAGAGTTTTCCTGTAGTAGGCCCCACTCCATGGCTGCACCAGGTTGAATGTAGTCTGCGCCACCTGCTGGTGGGGGTCCCAACAAGACAAGCCCATCTGAGCACCAAAAACCTGAAACCACTCAGTTTCTATGTACAAAATATATCATCAGAATACACAAACAGTACAATTAATACTTTCCTTTGAATATGTATCATTTTGTATCATTCAATGTGACTTGACAACAAGGTTCAAATTGGTAATTTTCAACTCCATTTCATGGTGACAAATATAAATGCTTTAATTAATAATTGTAGAAAAGAACCATAACTGTATAAAGTCTTCCATTTGGGACAGTGTCAATTATGTCAGGTGTTATGATTTCAGGTGTTACAGTAAATGCCAGGTGTGACAAAGTCCACCAGGTTGGATTATGTCATGGGTGACAAAGTCTGTCATGGGCACCAACCTACCTTCACCGTGGTATGTGAGTGACAGTGGTCAAGCAGGTGGTTGGAGGCAGCCATAGCACTGACCAACTTGACCACTCGCCTGGCATACATGGGTCTGTTGATCTGGTAATCAAATCTCTGGGCTTGAAACTTTAACACTGGTAAGATGCAGAGCTTGGGGGCAGACTTCTGCTTGGTGGAACTCTGAAAGAAGAAAGTTCTGAGTTGAAACTGATGTGAACAGGGACTTTTGAAAGGAAGACAATTGCCAGAGAGCTTATTGTAATCAGGTTAGGTGGGTTGTCCTAAAAAATGACAATCCAAAGGGAAACTCCCCTTAGAGATATAGATGAAAATTATGCCTTTGTTGAAATATGATTTTCGTAATTTTTTCATTCTAGACAAGTACAACTACAAAATATTTTACAGCTAGTCCTCAGGCCTATTTGACAAAAGATCTTTAGCCCCCCAAAATGGTCAAACTTATCTTTTACACCAAATCTTTAGTCCACCTTGACCCCCCTCCTTCCAAAAACAATTGTTTTAAAAATGAAACCTGCCTTTCTAGCTTTTCTTGGAGTGGTAACCCTCTTCTTAGCTATGTCACAGTCGTTGTGATCTGCAGCCATGTAGAGGATGGTGGTATTCTGAAGGGTGACGTGGTACGACTGTGTGGCGATAAACTCTTCCATCAGTGCCACCTGGTGTTCTGTAGGATGTGGGCGGTTCTCATCTACCACTTCTGAAAAAGCAAGATGAGTTCACCTTAAATAAACTACCGGTATGGAGCACCCCGTGAGGATAATCCTTATCCATTGAAAATGACACTACTTTATTTTTTCAATATAAGGAGACCCAGATTCAGTGGCAATTGTAATAATTTTTCTCACTCCTGAATAACTGGCTTCTCTGAAAATTTCATCAAAATCAGTTTTTTTAGAAATCTTACATAATATAAAAAAAGTGGAGATAGATTCAATAGTGGTGATCTGAATGTCCAAAAACTGAAATGTCCCTAACATAAACAGCACTTGCTATTTTTAAAAATTACCTGGCTTTGGCTTAGAGTAAGGCTCATACTCATGATCATAAGCACAGTGAAGGAACTTGCGTATCCTGTGGACCATACTGCTATTGACCACTAACTGACCAGTGCCAAACAAAAACTTCATGCTGGACAGCTCCTTGTAGTTATCATCTGTGTGCTGGGTGAGGTGAGTACTGCTACTGCTGGCACTGCTTGCTGTAATACAATACAATACAATACAATACAATACAATACAATGTTTAGAATGTTACAATGTATTAATATACATAGAAATTTGGTAATGTGCAAGTGTTTTATGTGTGACGTTGTGTTAGGGGTGACAGTGTGGTGGAAATCAGTTGATTTACAAGCAAGAATATGTTCAGTGTGGCAGTGTGTTAGAGGCAATGTGTTAGGTGTGACAGTGAGAGGTGTGACAATGTGTTAGGTGTGACATTGTAAAATAGCAGTGTGTTAGGTGTGACAGTGAGAGGCATAGCAGTGTGTTAGGTGTGACAGTGTTTTACAAGTAAACTGCTCTACACTCACCCCTAGAACTGTGGTGACTGGTTCTTCTATGGGAGTCTCGCTCCTCCATGGTGTAAAGATAGTCCATCCAAAATGCTCCAAACCTTTGGGTGGCATAACCTTCTGTGAATCTAAATGATAATTTACTTAATATCAATGGAGTTTTTAGTCAAGAAATATGCAACCGAATTGTCTGTTCCATTGCAGTGTATTGCATGTACTAGGTCAATGTACTAGGTAAATACATGTTTTTACTGTGAAAAAGGAGTTCTAATACAGCCTAATAACTGTAACTCACTTTTTCTTGTGTTTCTCCCTGTCGAACAGAAACTCAGATTTCTCCCCTCTATTCTCTGGACTATGGGTGTCAAACAAGGAGTTGCTGATAAAGTTTACAAGTTTTCCATCCAGAGAGGAGTTGCCCGTTTCCAGGAAACAGGGGTCCTAGAATTGTGAAGTAATATCCTGCACTGACTGTCCACAACAGGCTATAAACATACTGACACTGTACATACTGAAATCATAACTGATGTAATATTCATCAATCCTTTTTTTCCTCACTTATATTCCCCCTCCCTCTCTTCCTCCACCTCTCCCTCTCTACTCTCCTCATTGATCCTGCCCCTTCTGTCACTTCCTACTTTCTCTCTATATCTTTCCCTTCATTTATCTCTTACTTCCTCCCTTCCAACCTCTCTCTCTCTCTCTCTTTTCCTCTCCCACACTTTACCTGTCCATTCTCAGTATCCACCCTGCCGCACACACACTCCCCCAGACTGATGATCCTGGCTGCGGTGATCCCAAACTGCATGTCAAAGAAGATCAACCCTTTCACCAGTAGCTCTACACTGATAGACTCAGTCTCCAGACACATCAGAGGGGTGAACACCACTTTCTGAGGGCCGTAGTATGGGCTTTCTGTCACTGTGTCAGTTAGCTAGGGATGAAGAATAATTTGAGGTTTTAATATAATGGTAATTATTAAGACACATCAGAGGAGTGAACACCACTTTCTGAGGGCCGTAGTAAGGGCTTTCGGTCACTGTGTCAGTTAGCTAGGAGGGAAGAGTTATTTGATGTTATAATATAGAAATTAGTAAGTTTTCCCAAAATTTGTTTTGTAAGTATTAGCTTATATTGATCATATCATACTTTGATTTATGTGATATTGGTATATTATGTGATATTGGTATTGGCTTATTTATGAAATGCAGCATTGCTGCAAATTAAATGTAACAAAAATTAAAAACTAATTTTGTTATGAATCCAAAGTCTAAAAAAATGTTATGTTGTACTAATCAACCATTTACACTACAGCAAGAAATTTAAATAGCAAAAATGAAAAAGATAGTTGGACAAAGTGTTCAATTGTAAACAAATACTTATATCAAAATGCCTTAATTATATTTTTATTTAGTACCTTAAAAACCAGAGACGCCTTCTTAATGTACCCTCCCAGAGAAAGCACCAGCAGGTCCTTCTTCTTCTTCAAGTTAAGCTCCTCCTCCTCTTCTTTAGCCTCCTCCTCTGTGGCTGTTGCCGGGGCAACCCAGGACCATGCCCATGAGGACCAACTCTCCTCAGCAGAGCCCTCTGGTGGTGTTTCCTGGGAGGTCTCTGTAAAAATACAGCTTTTGGAGTAAGACTTCTTTTTATCATTATAACAGCAAGATTATTATGTAATGGATATTTAATGTAAACAAGCATCACATCATTACTTTTACCTCACAGTCTGTTTTGGTTTACTAACTCTTTTTGTAGATGGATTGGAATAACACACTTTCATTTTACAAAATAATAATAATAAAAAATAATAATTATAACTATTAAATAAATGAAAACAATTATCTCCAAAAAAATACTGTAAATCAAGCATCATGATGGCATTAATTAAAATTTTGCCTCACCGTTCTGAACTCCTGACATATCAGCCTGACTCTCAGTTTCGCTATTTTCTCGATTCTCTTCTGCAGAACCTGACGGCCCAGATGGCAGCTCCAGTGTGCCATAGTAGAGCGACAAGACAAGCTCGATGAGACGGAGAAACATCGGCAGCTGGGTGTCGGTGAGAGAGAAATCCAGTTTCTCACACATTATGTGTAACATGGTGGTGATGGGAATCTTGGCGTGGAGACTGTCATAGGTCATGTGGATCCTGTAATGAGGGCGAATTTCATTTGTTTAGTAAATTTTTCTAACATAACATTTTTAATCTGCACAAAATGACAGGGTTTCTAATATTAATTCTGTAAGTAGTATTAAAGGTGACCATATGCTACTGAAAAAAAATTGCCACATATCACTATTAGATATATTTCTGTGTAGCTTTTATTGAATCAGGAATTTTCTAATTGATGAAAATTAAAAAAAATATATTAAAAACAAAGCTGGTATTTACCTGCACATCACGGAGCACCTGTAGACCAAGGGATCCTGATATGTCTCAATCTTTCCACTGGCATTCCTTTTATCCAAACATGCCGTCAAATCATGGAAATTGATCACCCTCCTCAGCACCAAATCTGGCTGCGCTAAATCCACAAAGGCTCTCAGCCAATCACCATCCACGCTATACACTTCTGCAGACTTGACATTCACTGACAGAACAATGTCGTCTTCAACAAATTTCAAGATGAGGTTGTTGATGACGATGTTGACATTGTTGATGATTCTGTTCAGGATGCTTTGGAGATAGCCCGGGGGCAGGGCCTCTGCCTCCTGCAGCTGCTTGGCTTTAATTTTTGCTTTCTTCTGGGCGAGTTGTTTACTTGAGGCACTTGACTTCATGCTGGAGGCCTCCTCAGGGGTAGAGTCCTGGTTCAATGAATTCAAGATGAAAAACATTATATTTTCTAAATGACGTGAAATTCTAAATAACATAAATTACCTGCCGAGAAAACACTTCTGCCATGATATACAATGAAACTGTTATAAAAAGATGTTTAAGTTTTACAGTTTTTTCCTTTTCAAATGAAGATGTACTGATTTTAGGGAAATCATTTCTCAAACACAGCTTTTTAAAATATTTTTACAACATATTCATGAACAAAACACAAAAAACAACGCAGCTTTTTGTTTTAAAATCCAAATAATCCTTCTCCCCCCTATGCAGCTCACTTTCTCATAGTACCCTTACCTTTATTTTCAATATACACTCCATTGTGTTAATGGTGACAACCACTGGCTCAGACCCAAGTCGTGTCCATGGCACGTGAATTCGTAGCTCGTGTATTTGGCCACTGACAAAGGTGACAGGGAGGTGAATCATGCGCTCCAGTTTGTTCGTACGTAGCTCCAGCTTGTTCAGCACGATATCTCCTCCCCAGAGGGATAACTGGAAATCTTCTGGTTTAAGCTTAACATATTTATCCAGGTATCCTAGCAACCAGGGAGTTATGTAGGATTCTAGTTTAAACATGACTGCTTACTATTTCATGGAAACTGAAAAATACAAAAGTGGAATTTTTAATGAGTTATTTTAACATCAGCTATTTAATTTAATTAAGTTACAGGCCTAACTAATAACCTTGTTTATTTGTAATTAATTGGTCCATACTCTTATCTTAAAAGTGTGTGCTAAATTTTTAGGAACTGGTGATACAGACATTTATTTCTAATGCTTATTTTATAACATTTTAGCTGTTACAGTACAAATGATAAATGTTATTACAAAAGAGGTTTACTTTAGGTTAAAATGTAGCAAGTTTATGTCTCAGTCAAACAAGATGGTTAAAGGAAAATGTTAAATAATCATCATCAAAAAAAAAATAATAATAAATAAATAAATAAATAAAAATAATAAAATGAATGACTGTTCAAAATCTCAATCAGTCATGAATTATGTTACTTGGCTAAAATAACATTGACATATGAAACAAAACAGCCTGAAAGTTTTATTCATACTACTATTACTAGCTAACAATATCTTAGAGCTGAACACTGTTTTAAAAATCACTGTAAAATCATTTTTTGTGAACAGCAAAATGTCGACTAAATTTAAAGTCAAGCATGAAACTGTCATTTAGTAAAATATCGGAAATGTGGCGTAGGGACCAGGGGGCTGCCTAGGCCAATGATATTTTGGGCTCCCAAAAAGTTAGAGATCCGCCAATAGTCGGAAAATCTCTTGTGTCGAATGGCATGCCCTGGTTCGCGTTAGGAGTAACATCGTAGTAAGGTAAGGAGAACTTCACCGTGTTGTTTAAATGTGAAAAGGACAAAAACCTACTTAAAATTGAATGTATTTTTAAAGATATGTACGTACCTTAGTATCTCGTTGGGTTTCAGAGTTATTGCATGCTAAATCACACAGCGAGCAACATTTTGTTTCCTCGTGAGCCACAACCCGGGTGCCAACACAGCGCCCGCCATTTTTGTTTTGGTGGGCTTTTACGAAAACCAAGACTGTCAAATCGTCAATTTCAACAGTAACACGTACGCCTTAACAAATTATTAATTTTATTTGTTGCAAATATACTATTATGAGTTGTAAGTATAGGATATCTACATCATAATGCAATTCAAGACATTGTTAATATGAAATTTTTGTTTTGTTAAGCGATTAAAAAACAGAAAGTAATCCACAAAACCAATAGACTGATCTCATATTACATCCAAATAAATCACGACCTTCACCTTGACCTCAACAGGTGCCTGGTTCCAGCATAGTCAATGTAAGGTACAGGAGACAGATCAAGTAGTTCTAGTTCTCAATTTAATGTATTTTATGGGCTTCTCTGCCCAGAAAACACTCATTATTATATCTGTTACACGTGCATAAGGGGCTTGATGTGCAATATTTACGCATTTGTGAGAAAAAGAAAAAAATCACCATTTGCACATGCTTCAGCCATTGTATGCATTATAAGTAGGCATGGACATGCTACATGTAGTTAGTCTGTGCAACTCAGAAACTTTCTCACATTGGTGTCTATTAGTTGTCTTCGTAACATTATTACGGTTTATCGGCTCATGGTATACGTATCGCGATGCACCTGATAAAACGCCTCGCATATAGAAAAGAAACCCAGTGCTATACAACTGCATATCTGTCGATGATGCATGGAGATGCTTTGATAAGATGTGTTCATTTAAAGACAATTTGCTTTGCCTTTTACAAAATTTCCTGATTTGTTATCATCGTTAAATCATTACGGTCTATACAATAGTGACTTTCGGCTCCAAATTCACTTTTTGTTGTGTTTTGCTAGGACGTGCATTTCGTTAATTGAAATAATAGTATATATCGATCCAGAGTTGTTTTGCAGATTTTTGTTTTCTGTTTTGTGAATTTTAATTGCAACAATAATTTCCATTATTAGCAATGGATATTTAACACAGACAGGTGAAGCAGCAATATATTTCATAAACTCCTGCTCTTTTTACCTGTGTACTACCGGCCAACAGGCCTCTAGGGCGTAGAATTAATTAATCAATCTTCTTCATACTATTAAGCTTCTATATTATAACACTTCATAAACTGAGGCCATTTCTGACACAGGTTCTATTAGGTCTGAGGTTGTTTTGCTATATATATATATATATATATATATATATATATATATATATATATATATATATATATATATATATATCATTATTATCTGCCAAGGAGGTTTTGCATTTTATTTTGTTGGTTGACAGCCTAAAATGCTAAGGTGGATTTATGGATGGATTTTGATGAAATTTTGGGGGTATAAATTCTTCTCTGGCTTTAGTATCAATAACATTTTTGACGTGATCCATTGATAAATTTATGAAATAAATAAATAATTAGTTAGTTAATTAACTTACTCATCAATTTATTATTTAATCAGTTATTTAAGTAGCTACATGGTGATTTATAATCATATAATAAATTAGTTAATTAGTCAATTATTTAATCAGCTAATTAAGCTGCCTTGGTGGAGGTCTTTGTTCTCTTATATGTTTAGTTTTCCTGTCTTCCAGCTCCCAGAGTATAACTAGCATTACTGCCCACAATGTCTGAGCAGCAGGCTGGCGGGAGCTCAGGGAGGGTGAGGAAGAAGTCCAGGAAATTACTGGAGGCAGAGGAGGATAATTTAGAAACAATGAAGAGGTATTAAGTGAAGTGTGTATGTGTGTGTGTGTGTGTGTGTGTGTGTGTGTGTGTGTGTGTGTGTGTGTGTACATGTGCATGCATGTGCGTGAATGGATATGAAATTCCCTTGTGCATATGAACATATGCACTTATACATTCTCACACACATACATCCATGCATTTACATTGGAAGAGAGAAAGAGTTACAAAGTCCTTTTAAGATCTGTTTCGTTTAAGTAAACGACTAGGATGAAAACTTCATCTGGATGTCTATCAATTCCATTACATAAATTGTTCAGGCTCTGCATCATTCTTTGTTTCAATTACCAGTATATGTGCACCACTGCTTTATTAATATATTTCTATTTTCTTTAGTCCTCCTGCTAAAAGACAGAGAAAGAGTTTGGAGGATGGGAGAACTTCTGAAAAGACTGGCCAACCGTCACCAAGTGATTCCCCTCAGAAATCCAAAAGTGGCACGAAAAATGTCATCAAGGTTAAAAGCAAGCCCAAGCCTTTGTCTGTGGACAATAAGGAAGGGGAAAAGGAACCAGGCAAGACACCAAGAGGGAAAACTGACACCAAAGTGACAACTAAGAACAAACCAAAAGCCTCTGTTGCCATGGCTGCACCAAAACATCAGCAGAAGTCCCAGAAAGTGGCATCTGTGAGCGAAGAGCAGCCAAAGAAAGATCAGCCAACATCTGCCCACAACCAAGCACCTTCTGTGCCAGGGAGTGAAACATCTACTGAAAATCTTGAACTAAAGTCGAAAGCCTTTGAAAAGTCCATAAACACCAAACCAAGAATTGCTGAGCCTGCTGTGGGGGATGATGTTGGAGAAATACCAGTCAAAACTAAGAAAAGAAGCAAAGTTACTCAGCCCTCCCCCTCTGTTAGCACTCCAAGTCCCACTGGATTGGCGAGGAAGAGGGAGAAGAAGATCAAGGCACCTGACTCGCCTGATATGGAAGGACACAAGAAGTTGAAGAAGTGTGAAAAGGCAGGATGCCCTGCCTCCTTCATCATTTGCTTCTCTAATGCCTCTGAGAAGTAAGTTTACTATCCATTCCATCACATTTAGTATCATGCTAAGAATAATTCAAGGTTTCTGACAGATTTCTCACAGGAAACTGTGATCCTCTTCCACTATTCTTCTCACTTTCTGGTTCTGCGACTCGCAGGCTTAGTTTGTTGATGAAGAAATCAGGCTTTTATCTTATCTTTACTTTTTCATCATGTTTACCTCACCTGATTCTGAGGAAAATAATGGAGAGAGGTGGGAAACAGTTGAAAAGAGTGAACCATGACAAATTCTTTTTGGGCAAATATTAATTGGCCTAATTGATTGCATTGTTCAAATAGAGATAAGATGAAACCATTGTATATTCTCTGTGTTTCAGGTGTGCTAGGAATGGTTACACATCACGCTGGTATCACATGTCACCTGGGGAACACTTCTGTAATGACTGCTTCGATTATTTCTACAGGAGGTAAAGACGTGTGTGTGTGTGTGTGTGTGTGTGCACATGTTTGTGCGCCTACATGTGTGTATCTAAGCATGTGTGAGTGTCACTGTGTGTATGTTAAATCACTTACGCTGAGTGGGTGTTGCTTGTAGAAATGAACCCCTTTTCGTGTCTGACATTTAAAAATAAGTTGAGCTGAAAAAAGTTTTCTTTCCTGAGTACGCCTCTGTGAATTAACTTTGTTTCATTTAAGCCACAAGGGCGGCTACGAAGATTTCACCAAATGGAAGCGATTCTGGTCAACCAATGGGAAGACAGAGGCGTCATTGAAAGTTTACATGGCGGACCAGTGCTTGCCTTACTGGGTCAGGTGTAACCGATGTTCAAAATGGCGACAGCTTGGCAGCCATTGTGATTTCACCACAGAACTCGTAAAGAAGTTCGAGTGCGGGATGAATGGTCAGGGGGTGAAAGTAAGTTACCCCTTTCCTTGTGTTAGTTTGAAAAGTAGATATGAAAGTAACTTTTGTTTCAGATTTATCTGGGAATCTGGATATTTGGGAGTTGTATTTATACCCACCAGGCTCTCCATGTAAAACTGCGTGCATTAAATTGGCACAGTTAGCACTTGTTAGAATTGTTTAAAAGTCTACTTTCATCTCTGTGTAATATAGAATGTAAATGTAAATTGTATATATGTATAATCCAGTGATAATTTATAATGTTGAAAATTATGAATAAATAGATAAATGAGTGAATAAATTATAATAAATGATGATAATAATAATTATAATATTAGTAAGAATATTTATGATTATGAGAACTATAAAAATTATATTCTTCACTATCTGATTTTATGATCTCTTGAGTCTTAAGTAACTGCAGTACAATCTAACTGATGAGTTTTATTCAGAAATGCATTTTCTTGTGTCCGTTTTGGATAAAATATAAATTTAGAAATTTGATTAATTTTTCTTTTTGTACTATTTTAACAAATTTTGTACTATTTTAAATGATTTTAAATGATAAGTACAGGTATGGCTAAAGCTGGCAACTTAAACTCTACCTGATCATCAAAATTTTCACTCTTGTATTTTAACAGTTTATTGAATTTGCTAATTATAATATTATAAATAAGCCAACAAATTTATTCCAGAAAGAGGGAAATGCAGCATGTGATGTCCTTGAAGACAAAGTGAGTTCTCATCTCGATATACAAATTACGAGTATATTATTTCAAACATTAGATATCACTCAACTGCATTTGTTGGGAGTGACTTCATTAATGGCAGGTTTTCAGCTATATTCTAACCTGCCTTTTCTCTGCCATGCACTATTAAATATAAGTCAAGCATAGTTTTAATTAATTTCTAACAGAGGAACAAGAATCTATATAAACTAATTTCTGGAACCCAAAGACCTTACTCTGAATAATGACCTGCATGGACTGGTCACCTCATTTAGTATCATACACTTAAGATATTATTTATCCTCATATCTTGAATTCATGATTCTAATTCTTTTTTGAATGACTAAGAATGATCATTCCTCCAGTACAGAGGGTTATAGACGTATTTCAACTTGTGGATACTAAGTCAAGTGTTCCTTCTTTTAATTACAGAGAGTGTCAGAAGTATTTGAGCCTGGTTGGATCTCTACCCTTTGGAACCCCCCATACCTTGTTAACTCCCCTGCAGCCCCGTTCCTCACAGAGTACTACCCAGATGGTGTCGGGATGAGTGCTTCATCTACACAAAACAAGTCGATGAATGGGAAAAGGAAGAAAGGTACAAAATGATGCTATGCTGCACATCCATTGGTTTATCTTGGAAATTGAGAAAATCTTTTCTGTCTGTTTGTTAATTAATTAATTAATTTACTTATTTTTAATTTAATTTAATTAAATTAATTTTTTTTGAGTTGAGGTGTACTCTTGATCATAGAAATTCCAGTTCAGATGCTGGATGGGTACATGTACTAGTGTGTTAAGTGACTATTGGTATGTAAATGTTTACTATTTATTTGCCCAAATAAACAATATTAAATGTAGTTCAGATTTCTGATTTGGCTAAAATTATCTAACAATTTGAAGTAACCCATATTGACCCATGTTTTAACTCTCCCAGGTCTTAAGAAACAGGGGAGCAGTGACTCTGAGAGCAGTGAGACATCCAGTGAGGAGTCCAGTCTCAATAGTAGTGGACAGTCTAAGACTGACCCCACTGGACATGACAGTGCGTATGACAATTGCGGCCATTCAGAATAGATGACCTGAGTACTAACTGATCCACCAAATAAATATGGCCGACCCCATGCAAAAGAAATGCTGCTAATTCCATGATGGACTCCCCGCCTCCACACTCTCTATCACTGCAGGAGCCTAGCAATTAAACATCATACCCGAGATTTAATCTGCTTAATGGTGCATGTGGAGGCGAGGAGACCATCGGGAATCATGGGCATCATTTTTTAATGGGGTCGGCCATATTTAGTTGGCGGATCAGCTAGTACTCAGATCATCTATTCTGAATGGCTCCATTGTAATGTATTGGAGAGTTTTTCTTGATACAGGGTCTGGTTCTATGAGCACAAGCATGGATCATTGCTGCTCTTACTAATAAAGAATCATCACAACTTTTAACAAAGGAGACAAACAATTTTGTCTTTCCTTTTATGTTAAGTTCTGTGGACTGAATCTCCATTAACTTTACTGTCTGGAAGAGCAGAATGCCAATTGATGTTGACAAATAAAATAAAAATAAAAACAAACACATTGGCAAACATGTTATAGAAGAGAGAAACTATTTCCAATTATCGCTAACAACTTTTTGTCTCTTTTTGCCTTTCTAGTTCCTGGGCAAAACCAGACCAGAAAAAAATTGTGCTTATTGGTGTTAATAATAATAAAAAATAGACATGAGTACTTCACAACATGTTACAAAGCATATAAAATATATCAAATTATTGTTAATAACATTGTCCCTTTTCCCATGTCTAGTCCCTGGGCTGAGCCCCTACCTGAGACCCTTCTACCAACCTGAAGAGCAGAGGACAGCATGCACTATGCGCCCAGATGTCATGGATGACCAGGAGGTGCAGGAGTTCCCAGACTTTGCTGCGTAAGTCTTTCTTGTGAAAAGGGTCCTAAACTCAGTATGGATGATGTATTCAGTTACCCATGAGCTTAGATATAAGTTATTTTATGTTTATCTGTTCCACAGTTTAACTAATTAAAATTGGTTAAGATATTAAATTTATGTGAAAAGAAGCATTAGCTGTTAAAATTGTAAATTGAAGAAACATTTAAGAATGAAGAAAGCTGCACAATTAAATTTTAGAATGCGAAATTTATTCCATTCAGCATTTAGAGTCAAGTGTATTGAAAAAATATTTTGTACATTTCAGAGCCCAGCAACATGTGGTTTGTTGTTAATTAGATGTTGTCAGGATTTTTTTATGGTTGTGTGTTAAAGATAATTTTATTTATACATTTCAGGGCACAGCACATGTACCTTGGCATCAGGAACCTGGTCATAGCCATGTGGAATCTCAACATCAAGGTAGGATTGTGTTACTTCCCCCCCCCCCCCCCGTCTCACCTAACACATTCACAACTAACACAATCATAGGTACACAATGTATTATCATGTGATATGTCTTTATATATAAAGGGCTGTAGGCTGGTAAAAAATTTGAGCAGGGGGTCTTTTAGTCTTAGAAGACATAAAAGTGAGTTAATATAATGTGCATTGCCTGATGCTGACTAATGGAAAACTAAAAAATATAAACTTCTGATGGTCTGGGAGAAATGAAAAATCCAACAAATCATAAAGATACCCCTGCCTGACCTGCTTTGTAGCCTGCAACCCTGATATATGATTGTGAAATGAATTTTTGTATAATTCTGTATAGGTTTGTAGCATTCAGGTACAGTGTAGGGCAGTTTGTTTGCAATCACTTTCTTTTTCAACACCTTCTCAGTTGACACAATCACGTGCCCATGTTCCCTTGCTGGTTGCTTACATGCCCTGAAAATGCACTAAAGGACAAATGAGTCCCCAGTGTGAAATCACAGGGGCTGATCCAGGAACCCACTTTGTACTGACAGAGGGAACTTTGAATGGGTTAAAAACATGGGCAGCACATTGAGGAGGTAAACAACATATTACCATCTTGTACCATGCCCAGAATCTTATGTTCAGTTTGATATTGAATGTGTAAAATGTGTTGTGGTGTGCAGACATGATCTTTTTCTGTGGAAACTCGGAATTCAGCATTTTTGAATTCAGTTCTGAGATTCATCAAGATCTGCAATAAAATCTAGGTTGGGTCCCATGATAAATGTTCAGAGTTTGTATTTTTTTTTTAAACCTAGACTCAGGTCAGGGTGTATGTAAATGATGCCATGTATACCTATATAATCCTCTGTGAAGTACACTGGGTTCATTGGTACCAATGTGGATGACCTTGGTACCTTCAAGTTGATACTTACCAAATGCATGTCAAAGGTCATTAAGTTTGAAATCAGTTTCAGCAGGAAACAATTGCTGTCATCCTCTGGACATAGTTTATGTAACACTGTTGCTTAAGTGACCACTTTTTTGAAGAAAATGGGGTTAGGGAAAGGAATGACTATGTAGCATCAATATATCACAACTAACACAATTGTAGGTACCCTGACATTATGCTTTTATAACAGTAATTGTTTCTATTGGTATTTATAGTTATTTTTGTTCTACAAATCTTCATCACTGCAACACATTGTCAGCAAACACAACTTTTATTGGAGATATATGACACATTTAGAGAGCATGATAGTCTGTTTTTTTATTGAGTTTTTTCTGTTATTCATATGTCTCTGCCAGTATGTGGGTATCATTTGGGACAAATGTGTCCAATGTTTGTGTTACACAGGAGATTTTAATTGAAATTACATGTCAGTTGTACTTAATCACTTATCAGCTCCAAACTTGATAATAGAATAGGTTGCATGTTCTGTATCTAAATAGCTGGAGTGCATAAACACAGCACAAAAATGTCATTGTATTAAAAGGCAAGATTTGAGACAGATGTAGTCAAATACAAAAAAAGAAAATTAGTAGTTTGGCTTAGAGTGATATATACACACATATGATTGGACATTTTGGGCAAACGCATGTAGGAGCACTCGCAAATAATTTAAAATGAAAATATTGATAGAAATGTGATGAATCCAATTATCAAGCATTAGAACATGTTCATTTCTAAATAAATAGCACATGATGGTTGAGATAAATACGTTATTAAGTTGCATTAAGGGCAGTAGTACTAGAGACAAGTAAAAAGTATTTTAGACACGTACTTGCTCACTATGTTTGAAATGTGCTGGCTGTCTAAAGTGCCAATTACATTTAAGGCATGTCTTTAAAATGGCACAGTAGGAAACCAAGACCAATGTCTGATTGCAAGGGTGGAATTCCTGGAAAAAAACAATGCTTTTCAATTCCATGAATCAATATAATTTTAAATTTAATAGCAGTGTTACTGTTGTACTCAGTCACCGTGACATATGTCCAATGTGGAGCAAAATCCATTTGAAGTCATCACTTCAAGTATCCATATATGTAATTTCTCATATAATATAAAAACATTTTGTTGTAGTTTCTAAAACTATGTTTTAATTGTTACCAGTATGTGTGAGGAGAAAAGACATTTTAAGAATGTTTTAAAAGATGATTTTTTCAGTGAATTTTATTTCAATTTTTAAAAATAAATTAATTACTCTTTTTATGAGTAACCATTAGTCATTGATTTACGAGGCCTGTTTTTGCCTGGACTCATTTTGGTTTAACATGAATGCAAAAGGTTAAAAGTGATTTCAAGATCAAAGTATACCACTGATTAAATCACCCCCCCCCCCCTCTCTCTTTTCAATCCTCCCAGAAACCTACAATGATCTACCACTGGCACACATGACTGATAGCAAAAAAGCACAAAAAAATACAAATAACCTTGAAATGCTCATGTGTGTCATTGCCAAACGGACAAGCTCGTCAATTGTACCAGGAAATGGAACAGTTGATTGGCATGGACATGCAAATTATAGATTAGGGAAAAAATAGATCGAATTTCTGACTCTCTTTGAACGTGAAATGATCAATTGTTCCTGTCCCTATTGAAGGTGTTTGATAGGTTTCCTTCTTTTGGGATAACAATAACAAAATTAAATGATCTTTGAACCCTGTTAGTATTCCAAGATGTTTTTACAAAGAAAAAATAGTTTTCGCTTCAGGAGAAAAACATTTAATTGCCCCCCCCTCCCCAGCCTCTTTATGGTATGCATTTCATGAGGTATTAATCAACTAAAATATATGAGAAGAGATGCCTCCTTTTAATGAGCATGTTTGAATGGTTTAATTACTCAGTTGTACCCCCTCCTCTCTGTTTATGTAATTTTTCCAATCTGTTGTCCCTGAGAAAAATGTTCAATGAAATGGACAGCAGTAAAAGCAGTGGACAGTCGTCTGACCTCTTTAAAATTGTCTGCTCTGATTAAAGCTTCCTGTATGATTACTGACAGTGTCTAAGATAATGAACATGTGCACACAATAACTGCAATTTTCCGCTGTTATTTTGAAAAATTACCACAACCCTGTTGAAGCTCTGGAAATGACATTGGCCATGGTTGGTGTAAACTGGTAATTTCTTTCAACAACTTTGTCTCTGATTTGCCTCAGACTTGAAGATAACTCAGATACTGGATCAAAAAAATCACATGCCTGCTTTCAGGAACATTACAGAAGTATGTTGATGCATGTACACTTTATTTATTAAAGATATTGTTTTCAGGCCCATAGCCAGTGATATCAAAGGGGTGAAGGGTTGTCTTTCAGGAAAAGTGACCCATTTAACATGTACCTAGAACAATATTTATCCAGAACATAACTTTTCTGGCAAAAGGTCTGTTTGTTTGTTTGAACCGCTCCACCTCCCCCTGCGCCCCCCCCTTCCCCCTGCTATGGGCCTGATTTAAGACTCATACAGATATCTTCAGGACAGTCTTAATGTCTTAGGGGTATTGACCCATTTCTATTTGATTTCATTTGATTTAATATACAACAAAGAAGGCAGTTCATCTTCATTTTCAACAAGTGTGTGGAGTCTGTAGTGTTCATCTGCTTCCTTTTGTAATGGCGTTTCTGTTCTCTGCTTCCTTTGTAATGAAATTTCTTTTATCTTGTTAGCAGATGAGGACATATGGCCTATGATGTCCAAAGACTTGGTGATTACATGGTGATTGCTCAATTAATTCCAACAAAATAAAATGATTGATTTGTGTTAGAAATACTTGAAATATTAACCAAGATTTTGATGGTTTCCTGTCAGAAAGTAAATTTTCATGGGTAATTGAAAATTAAAAGGATTTGAAAGAATATAATTATGTGATTAGTATAATGTTTAGTGCTGGTGGTTTTTAGTTGAAAAGGTGGACTTTTTATCTCTCCTTCCTCCCCCCCCCCCCCCCCCCACCCCCCACACACACACACACACACACAGACACTCACACACACTCAAACAACTTAATTAATAAAAGCAATAACTTCATTACTTATTGCAACCCATTGGGTTAAGTTGTACATGAAAGAAATTTTACTGTGGATGCCTGATCACTTTTGGCCTAGATGCTGGCTAGGTGTTGACACTCTCGCCTTCTTGGGGAGGCTACAACTCAGTTGGATCATCTCAAAGGATGCAACAAAACCTTCTGAGTCACAAGGGCTGGTTCTTTAGAATATATATATTATAATGTAATTAGATGGCTTGCCAGCTGACATTGGTTACAACTCAGCTTGTCTGGAAATAGGACGTTATCACTTTTGATTGGCATTGAACTTTCATACAGCTAAGGCCACACGTCTGGGTCAATATCTAGCTGTTTTCAGTGAAAATTGCTCACCGACGATATATAGACATCATTGAACTTGACTGGAAATTTTTTCTTGCTTCTCTGAGCATCTCTCTGTCATGCGCAAAAATGGAGGTATCTGTTTCTTGTCTCGGGGTCCTCTGGGAAATAAGATGTTCTATCTGTTAGGGTACGATTACGTGTAGTCTGGATGTCGAGGATGAGATTGGAAAATTTGCAATAATGCTGTGACGCGGTTCACTGAATGCCAGAGTCTTGTAAATCCCATTGTCAGCAATTCCAATGGGGGGGGGGGGGGTCTTGTTTTCTAAAATAACATGGGTTTTTTAAGCCAGTAATTGACTCAACCTGAGAAATGGCATTGTATCTGGTAGAATGGAAATTTGATGCACATTTGGCCTTTACTGATCAAAAGGGCGGTTCTGTCAACCCCTCCATCCCCCTGAGGAATGGGAAGTAAAGTCCTAAACATGGAGATGAAGATTTTTTTAATCAGATGGCAATGAAGACATTGTCATGGTGATAGAGGTCAAGAAATCTGTTTATTTTTTAGTTATTTTTATATCAAGCTGGAAAAGGATTGTAACTGGAAGTTAAGTTTGAGAAGTTTTGTCAGGTGGCACCAGGTTTGTAGTTGTGGATCCAAGAAGGCAAGAAATTAAGTCTTAATTAGGGCCACACAGACTTTTCTGTACAAATGGATCACTATACCCAAGTGATCCAAAAGATACATCTAGTTTTATGTACGTAGCTTTTTTAGAAGAAATTTGGAGTTGCCAACGTGACAGTGCTCAAAATGCCTCAAATCTGTTGTCTAGCATACATTAACAATAGAACAACACCTGTTAGACTATGGACCAAAAATGAACACCCCCCCTCCCCTTGGGGATTTTTCTAGGCTGTATTTTTCGTATACCTTGGGTAGTATTCTCTTAGAATTTGGTTGTCTTCCATGCGGGATTTGCTGATTTTGGCTGTGAAGGCTGCTATTTTAAATACGTAATGAGTTTTAATATTTTATTATAAGTCAGTGAAAAGCTATAATTCAAATAAAGCATGCAATACATCAAATATAAGACCCCATTCCCAGAGATTAGATCGATCCAACTAGATCGACCTAACTCCCTGGGGGTTCACGCTAAATAGCTGTCAGCCTAGCGAGCACGAAAGTTAATTACCCCCTCACAGCTTGTAGTAGGCGGGACGGACATTTAAGCCGGATTATCTGACAGTAATCTAGTGAGACTCCCCACGGGGATAGATAGATCTATAATCTATGGGAATACGCCCTAAGGTTTGTTACCTTATGGAGTCCAAAAATGAACTTCTTGTCTTGATTGGAGCAAGCATTTAAAAATTATATTCAAAAGTAGGTCAAAAAGTTAACATTCTTGAAATTGCGTAAGTTGGCTAATAGAAAAATGTTGTCGCCATTTGTAAAGGCCTATAAGACAAATATTAACATAACAGTTATCTAATTACTTTATTAAATTTTGTTTGTTTGAATCATATCCCTACAATATAGTAGACGGGTGTAAGGTTTCAGAATTATAAATATCTGTATTAAACTGGCATGCATAACACGAAAATCCTGAAGAAAAAAAATTTACAACTTAACCTGGAAGAGGGAGAACTATAGAAATCACTAGATTGTGTACTTTAGGTAAACTCCTCTAAAATGTTAATGTAAAGAGCTTGAGGAGTCTAGAAATATAAAATGAGAGAAAAAGATGGAGAGGTTTAATGTAATATGTGATTAAGAAAAGGAAAGCTAAAATAAAGAATGATGCAATTAAGGAAGGGGAGCAAAAAGAGATTTGAAAATAAAGAAAGAGAATGATGGAAAAGATATAAAATTTAGTACTGATTTCAGAGGAAAAATAATGAACTATTCTTTGAGAGAAAGATTATAACAGAAAGCAAAATTTTATCTTATCAAAAGACAGTGCCATTTTTATACCACACATTAGTAGACTCGTGTTAGGAATACTTTCATGAAATCTTTATTGTTCAGAGAACTTAAATTGAACAGCACAAACAAAAACAACTTATATACATGATAAACATGTGTCCAATGCATTTCAACCCTGATGGTTTTACTTTTGATTTGTTTTTACACAGCCATTATATTCGGCTCACTAGCAAACACTTCTACCATAACTGCTAATATAATAAACTATGGAATTGACTGAAGTAGCATATTAATTGGTAATATCATAAAATATAATCTAAATCTTTCTTCTGTTTTTCTGATAAAAAATAAATATAAATGATCATTTTAAGCCATAAAATGTATAAAAAAATTATAAGGGCCACACTACAGTATTTTGTCCTTTTATTATTTTATCCTTTGTCAATTTTTTTTCTATAACTGTTCCTGTTAATTTTAGGAAAAATAAAGTTTTGATCAGATAAAATCACTTTAAATTTTCTTTATATTTTTTCTTGTAGAATGATAAGACATTGAGAATTTACAACACAAAATAGAGGAAAAATACTGAGAAGTGACCCATATTTGTTGACAACAATGGCACTTAAAATTCAGTTGTAGAACTCAGCTGCTACAGATCTGCAAAGTTAATTAAGAGCTAGCTTTTTGTACAAGTGCTAAAAACTATAATACACATTTACAGTTTATATGTGATCAACCAGCACTTTGTTTTGCCCTGATTTGTTAAAGATTAGAAGAAAAATTGATATATCAAATACAAATCTGTCTAGTTACGTGGTTTGAGAGTACATATACACCAGGGGCAAATCCATGCAACCATCTTGGATGTTAGACATCTAGACAGACTCTGTCAAGTTAAGTTAAGGCTGTAGATTTATCACTTTCAGTAAGACATTGCTAGAACATTTTTAAAAGTCTTAAGTTCTTGGTCTAAGTTTAGACTTGAAATGCGGCAGCCAACTATACTAATCAATTTAATCTACTTTGAAAAATTTCAATGAAAGATAGAGTTAATAATAATAATAATGATTAAAAATATATATAAGTATATTTGGCAAACCTTAATGGACAAAACTGCATTCAAGTTGACACCAGTATGTTTAAGGGACTTAATGGTATTGTTAAAAGACAAAAAAAAAAAAAAAAAAAAAAAAAAAAATTACATGGTATTAGAAAGATTATCTTTCCTATAAATCTGCATATCATGCCCTGGTATGGATATCTTGTTTGCTGGGTGATTATATCAATCTGAAAATGAATTAGATGAAAAAATTCTTCTTAGTTTTTGTTTTTGTTTATCCCAATTGTGAATTTTCAAGGGGGCTACCTGAATTCACATGACTACATGAATGTACTCCATAAACATAGTAGACCACACTGTAGTACTGAAACCATGGAGACGGTTTGAACAAAAATATAATTATTAAAAATATACCAGTATTTAACATCATCTCCATTGTTATCTTTAATGTACAACTCATAAATATAAATATAGTACAGATTTTAATGCACACATCCCTAGCAGCCATTTTTTTTCATGGCGTAATTTACAACACACAACGTCACCTGTTCATTTAATCTGGCTACATCACCACATTTTATAATAATATACATGTACAGTTTTACATACTGAAAGCAAAACATCAGAACTTGTTTTTTTATTTGAATTAAAGCAAATTATCATTTAGCATACACTAATTGTACCAGGCCCGTAACCAGCAATTTCAAATAGGGGGGTTCTTTTTCTGAAAAAGTGGACCTTTCCCATAAAAACTTCATGTACCTAGATCAAATTTTACCCAGAGTGGACCTTTTCCCAGCAAAAGGGGCGGTTCCTTCGAACCCCCCGAACCCCCCCTAGCTACGGGCCTGTGTACTGTATGTTTGAGAGCATGGGTAGTTTATTATTGTTTCATGCCACATTGTTTGCAAATGGTTACATTGCCATCTGTTTTGATATATTACCACAGCGATATGGCACATACAGAGTGCTTTTGATGATGTTGATATATCATTGTTGCTGTAAGTTGCATCAACAAGGATAATGGATTATTTCTGAATGTAATGCTAAGTTTTACTCATTGGGAACTGTTAACATACAAGTGTAGGCTATTAGCAAGCTCAAATATTAAGTTAATCTGTTTTAGGCACAAGTAAATGCCAGTGCACCTAATATTGCAAACTATTACCAGATTGAAATTATGTCATATGGTCCTTGCTTTTAAGAGTAAAACAGATGTCATATACGACCCAGTGAAAGTTTTGCTGTGATTTTGTACATTAATAAGTCAATATTTGTAAAAGCTTAAGTAAATCTATAACAATCATGAAATACAGATTGATACATATATAAAAAGCACTTTTGCTATTTAAAAGTGATCTTATAATTGTAAACACTCAAAGTCATGTTTGCTCAAAGACTAAAAATGTTGAACATAGTGACTAAAACATATAGTATATGTAGCTGTCTTTGAAAGTCTCACACTCTCTAACAGACAGAAGGCACCTAAATGGTCATCTCTATATTTCAAAATAGATAATTTATAAGCAAAAATGTTCATTAGCTTGGTAGGTTGATCATAATTGAAAATTATCAAACCCAAGTTGAAAAACCTTCATACCATTAGCTTACAACATCTATATTGAGTAACAACATCTACTCACATCAGTCTGATGAAGGCCTTTATCCAGGTTGGCCGTATGCTAATGGTATCAACATTTTTTTTTTTTGGCTTGTGTTTGATAATTTTCATTCATAGATAATTTATACTTCTTGATCAATGACTTCTTGTAAAGAATTGTCCTCGTAGAACTTTGATTTTCATTTTCTTTGGCTTCCTATCTTGGTCAGTTTGGGATCAGTTGAATTACTTGACTGATAAAGAGCTGGCAATTACTTAGAAAAATTGACTGCAAAAATCAGTGCCGAATATAAAAGTACAGCACAGTAAGCAATCAAATATATCCCCCAAGGATTTGCCAAATGCAATTTATACTTTTTGACTATTATAATGGCTTTATTTTCCTTGCTTGTCTAGTTTCACTGTTCCTAAAATTGGTTTTTTACCTTTTTGATCAGCTTTGAAATTGGCCAATTTCAATGGAGAGGATTAATAGCATGATTGGGGAAAGGCTGGTTAAAAGTGACAATTTGCTTCTGTTATTGATTTTCTCGCAGAAATAAAGATGAAAATGATAATGTATTATCTTCTGAATCTATGTCCTAAAGTTGATGCTCATGTCAAGATTGTGGTATTGCTTATGGACAAACCATTCATTATGGTGAACATATGGAATGTCATTAGTGGAAATTAAAGGTCTTTGATGTATTCTTGTTAGGACATTCATTTACAGTTTTTATCAAGATGTATATGTATATTTATACCCATGAATCATACCGTTTGGAAGCCAAAAACATTCATGCTCATGATCAAGAAATTGTTTCACTTTCATGTTTGAATATAGAGTCATGTCCATTTACCATTTTATTAATCTCAGCAGCATCCTGCTCTGAATGGAAAATGACTGTTACATTGCCTGGGTCATCTTGTGCGTTATCTGCAGAAGGTTGATGATGGGCACCGTTATTATTAGCATAAAGAGGGGTAAGTTCAATACTTTGAGCTTCCCAGTCTTTATACTTGGCAGCCACCATGGTGGAATTTGCAGCCATTTTGGAAGCTGTGTCATTTTGATGCTGCTGCTGTTGTTGTTGTCTTCTGTCTGCTAGAGAGTGTGCGTCCTGTCAATCATTGATTTGATTGACAGTTATACACATCGTATCAGTAATCTGATTAGAGTCTGTATATTTATGAAGCTTGGTTTTAGCTTTACAAATCTCACTCCTTTCGGGGCAGCGTTCACAGCAGCCACATTTCTCCCAACAGCGAGCTATGAGGCGTCGACACCCTTCGCGAAAATCTGGCATTCGGAGGCCGTAAATAAAAGGATCACACAGAGGATTGAGAATCATAATAAGATTAGTGACACCCCCTACAATGATTTTGACTTGCGGTTCACCTTCACCTTGAGGACTCATTTGAGCATTGACAAAGGCATTAGCAATCCCAGGAACCCAAAACAAAATGATTGTCCCCAGCAGCAAGGCTATCGTTTTGTTCACTTTATGCTGCGCTGCATTGTCCCCATGAGATATTCTCCTTATCTTGGTGTAGAGTTGTAGATACAGTATAATGTCGATAGAGGTCGTTGCGATAAATATGACACCAACTAGGTAGCACTGGCCAACGTGGTAGTAAGGCATTTCAGAGTAATGTGAGAAACAATCGGCTGGTAATTTTGCAATGTAATAACTAAGATGCATGACAACGTAGAAAAATGCTGTAAGACCATAACAGAAGATGTTGAATAAGTTGACTCTCCTTTCCGTGACGATCCTATCGTACTCCAGCGCCTTTGTCACAGACAAGTACTGATTAATCACAAAGCCTGATGTCACGAGAAGCGGCGTGATTAAAAACACGTAAGAGGCATCAGCTAGAACAAAGGCAGCACACAACACTTCAGGACCTCTGGCCAGTTTCAGCTGCACAGTGTAGTATACCCCTGTACTCAGGGCAATGAGTACACTTAAGATGAGATCCGACAAAGCCAAGTTGATTAGCAGATAATGGAACGGTTGCCATGGTTTTCGTATGTGAAGTAGACACAGCAACGAAAGAAGGTTTTCTACGACACCTATGCATGCCAGCACGCACATGGTGACGGTGAAAAATGCAAAGTACTCGTGCTCATCAACGTCGGCCACTGTGTGATTTTCTGACCTGTCGTAGATGATGGAGGTTGACTCCGACTGGCTAAGGTTCTGGATTCCCAGCAAATACTTTGCTGATTTCTCAGATGCCAGGTGGTGGAAAACCTCCCCCTCCATTTTACTTGTCATTTTGACTATTTTATCTATTCAGAAGCCTCTTTTTATTGAATTCAACCTTCTTGGTTTGTCTCATCCATCCAGTATGAGGCACCTAGCAGTGTGGGATGATCTCTGAATCAATGTTTTATCAACTGTCACATGCGTTGATAGGCTTTCTGTTCTTCGTTATGCAGGCAGTCATTTTGAAGTTGATTTAAAAATGAATGTTTGAAAGCAGTTAGTACATGAAATATATACTTCTTTTTCATGCACAAATTACTATCTTTACCAATCCAGACAGTTATGATATATTATTTGTTAAATTGCCCAGATTACCTGAATCTATTGCAGGAAATCGGGTTTTTACTTGATGTGATTTCTGCCATTGCCTTGAAGTATCACTGTGATGTGTTTTCTTCCTGGCCAGTGAGCGTTTTGCATCTTAGTCCATGTCCCTTCACTGTATTACAGACATGGGAATCAACTATTTGTATTTAGTTTCTTTTATGATTGTTATCTTGGAAATGTTTTAGTCATTAAAACCTGGACTTTATAACTGCTTCTCAGAATTGTGTGAATAGATCTTCTAGAGCTTTTATCCCACTTCCTCAGTGATGATTCCAATCTATATCTCCGTGTGTCTAAGGTATCTGGTTTTACTTCCTGGTTTTGTTTCCAGATAAGAGTCTTTTAAGCAAACTGATCTTTGTCTGTCACAACCTGAAATAGATTGAAATAAGACATTTGGATTATTTCATTTATTGTTTTTTTTTTATTGGTCAATATAGTTCTCCATCGTGCAGGCTGGAATTGGATTTGTTATTAATGAGAATGTGTGATATGCTTTCCAGGTGAATCATTATTGGTGTGCTGGGCAATATGTTCCTCTTTCTCTCTCTTTCTTTCTCTCTCTCTCTCTCTGTTGTTTGGACTCACACACACACCAGTGTATACAAACATACACACACATACACGTGTGGACTCGCACATGTCCCCATACAAGCATGCACACACATACAAACACATGCAGTCTCCTCTCTCTCTCTCTCTCTCTCTACATCCCCATCTCTCTCTCTCTATCACTCACACATCACTCACACATACTGTGGCACTTGAATTTCCCCATTTTCTTTGAACTCCTCCACAGCCTGTGCCACCTGTTATACCAAACAAGTCTTTGGATCAAGTGTCTTTTATTCAGATAATTCTCTGTCTCTGGTGTGGTCATTGCTGCCCACATTGACAAATCTTATCAGCTTTTATTAGTTGTGATTGAGGTCTCCTCCTACTGCTTTAAGTATTTCAGATTGTATAACACCTTACACATTTTTTTCAACATTGGTCATTTTTAGCTTTAGCCAAATATATGTATTTTGTCTGACATGAATCAACCCAACTGACTTTTCCTAATTTTTATATGAACATTTTTAATAAGAAAACATCGTCCTGGCAAAATTGGTTATTAATTAATTTATTCTTTAATGTAATAGATAATCATTACCATACCTTGAGATTATTGTCCGTAATATCTGTTCATGTCCTGCTGATGTCTCCTTGATTTCAGATTATCTATAGATGTGTAGGAAGATCCTATAATTGAACACATGGGGGGATTCTCTCTGTCTGTCCATCCACCAGTGTTATGTTTGAAATCCTCTTTTTTCACAATTAAGTAGCAGGGTGGATTTTCATTAGGTGTTATGTCCATTTGAATTCCTCTTTCTTCACAATTAAGTCACAGGATATATTTTCATGAGGAAGAAGTAACACTTATTCTCAGCAGAATCAGCAGGGATAGTTCCTTAGACAATCTCCTTGCTCTACTGAAAAAAGAAAAAGACAATCATTTGAAGTATGTAGGGTATGAACAACATTTAATTCTTATTTCTTGGTGCGGCTTGCTATAATTATCTAAAAATTCAAAAAGAACATTATGAAAACTTTGCACATTATTTCTCTTGGCATCACCTGTTAAAATTTTGATGTTAGGTTAGGCACCTCCCTCAAAAAAAAAAAAAAAGACAGGTGTCAATGAATTCTTGAAATATTATCTTCACTGACTGACTCATAATAAATTCTTTTGTGTGACGTTTGATTGAGATCTTACTTGGTATTTATCCCCTTAAACACATACAGGTCAGTAAATTTGACAGGTGACATGATTATCTGTGCCAGATATTTGAATAACTTTGTTATACTGGAGATAAAAAAACCCGATCTTTTGATCTTTGGTCCTCAAAAGAATTGTTTGAATGCCAGAATGTTCTATTTTTTTAAAGTCTGTATGCAGTTTCTACCAGCCCTGGCATTACCAAGGCTATATAATGTTTTTTTTTAATCAGATTTTTTTTTAAATTTCTTATCTGTGGTTTATGCTATTATAATATAAAGTTTTATTTCATATTAATTTTGTACTATCAGACCTGTGTGTATTCTAGATATGCTAAAGTTATAATTTTTACATTGTGTTCTGATATCACTACCTCCTAATTTTATGGGTCAAGCATTCCAAATTTTTTTTAAATTTTACTATTCTTATAAATCTAACTTGAATTTGGCAAAATTACAACTTTGTTTATATCACCCCATTACTATTGTTAATATCACCCCATTACTATTGTTAATATCACCCCATTACTACAAACTCTTTTGATCTCTTAGCTCAAAGTTTATTGACATTGATAAAATTCCAAATATTTTTTATCTCACAATTTTGTGACTTACCTGTTCTACAGTTAAAAAGGCTATGATAAGTCATTCACTGACGAAACCTATGCCCTCAGGTGTGTCAAATATTTGGATACCTTCCCTAGTGTTACCTTTATTTATATTAACACCTGCTAAACATTACAAGAGCTGACATCGCTGTCTTCAAAGTAAAAAGTTATTGACTTATATTCTTTGTTGAAGTGTATTGTGTATTCATATACTCATATACCTTTATAATCTGTTAGTTTGAAGAAGAGAATAGGGTCTTGATTTTAGTCACAGTGCCTGAAACTTAAGTCCAAAATGTAGACGTTAGCTGTTTGGTGAACCTGGTCATTGCTCGAGTACTTCGTAGTTGGGAGCAAACGCTTGTCCCGCATATAAATTAAGGGATAGATTTGCATCACATGCCCATTATTACAATTAACACTCTCCTGGACTCTCTTCCCTGGTGAATTTAAGTCCTGTCAGGAATCATTTCTGGTGAGTGATTACCACACAGAAGGAGATTAAACTGATCAGGAAGAGGAATGGGGAGCATACACATGGGCATGGGGGAAGTGATTACCAATCAGACCTGGTTTGACAATTTTCCTATGGTTTTTAACATATTCTGCAATTGGCATATGCTGTGGGTTTGGACTCTTTTATGTATTAACAACAAAAGCATTTTTACATATATATCAAAAACTTCATTTTTTTACGTATCAGTGGGGGTTTATACAAACTTATCTTTTGTTTTCTCTACTGGTGCTAACTGACATACTAAAACTTAAGTAAGAATGTGCTGTTCAAAGAAGTCATTGAATACAACACCCCCAACTGTCATACAGACATTTTTAATGGAGGAAATTGAAACAAATCATATCTGTACCAGGCAGTGTAGCCAGACCAATCCTGCTGAAGTAACAGTGTGCCTAGAAGATGGGTCAATGAATGAAAAGATTATTGATGGAAATGGGCAGTTTTGAACATAAGGAAATTAAATTTTATCCCCAAGCCACATTGGTGTTGAATTGAATCCTTGATTTTTTGCCCGTTGATAGCAGCCTGGATTTAACACCAATTTTTTTTCTGTTGATTTTGGATAAATTGGCTTGGCAGTATGGTCCAGTATTCAGTTAACACATATCTCCCTTGAGATGATTTAAAAACTTTTTTGTCTTCTTTTCCTTTTTCTGTTTTATTATGATAGATTGACCTGGCCTTTTAGTCCACTATTCAGTCAAAATATATCTTCCTCAAAAAGATTTAATTAAATTAAAATTTCCTTTACCTTTTTATAATGTTTGTTGCAGTTGTATTGAGATAAATGTGTAATTTATGGTAAACCTCTACCTCAAAATTGATTAAATAGCATCTTTATCTTTTTTCTGTTGTATTAAGATATAATATCGATCATGCTGTATGGTCCAGTATTGAGTAAAAACATCCCTGGGGCCAAGATACCCAATCAAGCATCCCCTAGGGTTGTATTCCAAGACCATGGTGCTAGCAATGGCCAATTGTTGTTTGGTAAAATTATATCTATATGGTATACCAGCATCTGAATACAGTATACACAACAGATAAGAGTGCATATTGCACTCATAGTATATATTGAGAGTGAGATGCATTTAAATAGTTCCAGTGCGTGGAAGATATTTCATATTGCAGCAGATTTATGACACCAGCAAGTCCAAGATTGCAGAAAGGTTGGTTGGGGCTCAGGAAGACTATTGATCCATGGAAAAAGAATTAGAATAATAACTATAATTTTGCTGTCCCATATCTCATATCTAATTATAATTACACAAGTCGGGGGCGGATTGAGGCCATCTTCTGGGTATTCCAGAAGACGGTCAGATTTTCAAGTTTACATTGACTGGTATCTTTTGGAAGACAGTCAAAAATGGAGGATGGATTAACAAAGATAATTTGGAACACTGTCAGAAAATAGCCCTGGATCCGCCCCTGCAAGTGACTGGTGGTACATACCTAGGAGGCAGACTGTCTCTCTGAGTTATTTAAATTTTTAAAAAAATTTTAAATGTTCATCATAAAACAAACACCTGTTGTCCAGTTTTCAATAAATCACTGGCTGGTGGTACATAGCCAGCAGGTGACTGACACCTCTCTGAACTATTCGCACAGTTATTTATTTCTTTCCATCATAGAACATCCCAATTATCTCCCCAAAGGAGTCTGTTAACAGTTCCCCTGATAGCTGACCTTATCAGATACTTAAGAAATATTGTTTTTATTATGTATTTGTACTTGAAGTTAATGGGACTGAGGGTGGCTGTTAAGATCAGGTAAAGAACAGTGACTGTAGGGTTGTTATGGGAATGATGGAATATGTGGCTGTCTTTACATGTTTTCTTTTTCTGGAAACTGATTTAATAATAATAATAATAATTTCTTATATTGAATTTCTGTTTCTGTGCATCAGTGCACTTTACAATTAAATATAAAATTCCTTATTAAGAATTACAGCACTAAAATAAGACTTCCTTTAAAAGTGTAAAAACATTAAACATAAAAACTTTTTAGAAGATGAGTTTCTAGAGATCATGACATCAAAACCATCATAATAGGTTTTATGTAAACTACATAGTTTTGACTTTGTCTTTTGGTGTGGGGAAGTATTTCTGCAAAACTGCCAAGTGACATGTATAACAACACCTTGAACACAGGAACTTGAGGCATAGAGGAGATTTTCAGGTGTGAATCACATTATAGCACCATTATATGCATTAAGCCATTGATGAATTTTCATCTTTTTATCATTCAAGTACTTTGCAGAATAAATGCCTGTCTTGACCTGATTTGCAACAGGTAAAAATAACATAGGTGACAAGCATAGTTTTGTAGTACTGCTAAAGGGTATAAACTGCAGCACCTTGAAGTAAATATGATAATTACTGGTATATTGCTTTGCACAAGTCGGTCCAGCCTTTGGTCAATAACTGGACCGACTTGTCTGACCAATAAATAAATAACAATTTGGTCAATGGTCCTTATACATATTTGGTAGGGAGGTTTGTTAGCAGATGAAGATGACCTCTATTCCTTTGACATAAGTAGGTCAAAGGTTAAGGTCACATTGACCTTGAACACAAGAATTGTGTGAACCCAGTATATAAAGATCAATTTGGCCTAATTGGGGGGTTGGGGTGGAGATAGGGGGTCTAGCTAGCTATAGACAGGTCTCAGAAGGTCTTAAAAGGTAAGAAAATGTACGGAAATTCTTGTTCTGCCAAGTTATGCTAAGTATGCTAACTTGTTTTAAAAAAGAAAAGTATTCTTTCTGTGCCCAGCATGCCACCAATCACCATGATGTCATCTTCATTCATGGTAATACAGAATATTATGTAAGACTGCCAAGGTGTTTTTACTTAAAACTCAAAAACAGCAGAATATTAATTCTCTGAAGAAATACATTTTCTAAAAAATGTTGGGTATGATATACCTAAATTGGTGGCAAAGAGAAAAGAGATGAAATTTTGAGGAAATTTGAAAATTTGCTACATTTTATGCCAAAGATGTGTCATATATAAATCACACGGTTGATGAATTGAATGTAAAATAATTGGTAACCAGACATTTGAACATTACGTACGTGAACCTCCACAGGCAGTTGCTCTCTCGCCTCTTCATTCTGTGTTTACAAGTGATATAATACTAAATCAACACAAGATAACTTGCTAAAACATGTGTTTAACAGCATGGCCCATGTTATTCCTGGAACTATAGAGATGTTGTTTACAAGTGTCACGTCTGCTGGAGCGCATGTTGATGTCATCCTTGGTTTGTGCTTTGTTTGTTTTGCTTATTGGTACAGTAGGTCTCTTGGGGCCAATTTATTTAGAAAAAAAAAGTAAAAATAGATTAAAAAACTTGGAAAACTAACTAATCTAAGTTTGCAAAGATTTTTATCTGGATGATTAAGAAAATCAGGTGCTGCCTAATCATTTGTTTCTTACAATCCTGAAACAAAGCTTTTTGATCAAACTCTCAAAACCATGGCACTGGTTTTTAACCAGGCAATGAATGTCATTAGATCATAATAAAAATAAATAAATATTTAAAAAACATCATTATAGGGTGATTACACTAATTGGATCCAGTATTA